GGATCAGGAAGACTCCGAGTCACTTACTGGGTTTGTCTGGCCTCTGGAGCCTCAGACAATTTATCCACTATATTTTGGTTAGGATGTGATCTCAGCTGGTGGATGGAGTTCCCACATTTGAAGTACTGATGCATTTAGATAGCGCTCTGGTTCACAGAGCGCAAAAGCAGAGCTCCCCAGTATTTATTATCCCCATTTACAGGAAAGAAAGCTGAGGTTTAGAGGTTAAATTGTTTGTCCTGGAGCAAACAGCTTTGCCAGAGTTCAACTTGAACCCCAAAAGATTATTGACTTTTGCCATCCCACTGTTTCCTCCTGCCTTTCTAAGCGTAGGGTGGTCGGTTGAATGAATAAGTGAGCAATCAATCAGTCGGAGAGAAGAGTGATGGAATTCTTCATGAAGTATAAACGTGATTGATTTCAGAGCCTTTCCCGAGAGGAAGGAGCTGGGCAGAAAGGGTAGGGTAGAGGGCAGCAGTGGGGAAAGACAGGCAGGTCATCTTTTTTCTTCTCCTGCTTGCCCTGGGGTTGGCCTTGCTGGTGTCTCTGATGGCAGCATGTGGACATCAGCAAGAGATGGGGGTTCCCTAGTTGCCCTTATCAGTAACGAGAGCACGCGCAGAAGGAATCGGTGAAGGCAGGGATGCAGATCTTTCCTCCTCCTTCCCTGGATTTCCGCCCGTACCAGGGCCAGTTGAGGACCGGAAGTGCTGAAAGTTGGACTTTGAATTGCCTGGGACCTGGTAGATCTTTAATTGCCATGCTAAGAGAGGGTTTTTAAACACATCTGTAGCTCTGGGGGCCAGAACGGGGAGCAGTGGGCTCGCAGCCTGCTGGGCAAATCTCGCCTTGGCTGTTCAGGGGGTGAGCTGTGTCTGTGGAGGGACTCTCTCTTCTTTCTCTCTTCCCCTTTCTCCGTCTCTCCTTTCCTCTCTCCCCATGTTCCTCTCTTCCATCTCCTTCCCTCTTTTTCTCCTCTCTCCTCCTCCTTCCTTCCCTCCTCGCACACCGTCTTTCCTCCTCTATCTACCATTCTATCTAGAGAAAAAATGAGAGATTCCAGCAGACCTTGGAGAAGAATACTCCAGACCTTTTAATCTGCTCATGAATTACTTTATTTTTAAAAACTTTATTTGTGTATCAAAATATGTCATAGTTTACTTATTTTATGATTTCACTGCATTCTTTCTTAAAATTTCTATTGAAATATTTTTATATCACCAGTTTTCCCCCTCCCCCTCCCAGAGAACCATTGCATTATTTTTTAAATCATAATTTTATTCATATATTTTGTTTCTGAGAGGTGGAGTGAGATAATGCTTTAAGGGCTGGTCTCAGGCTGAAAGAATCGGCTTCAAGTGTGACCGCACCACATACTGGCTGGATGTATGACCCTGGGCAAGTCACTTCCTCTCGGTGCCTTAGGCAATTCTCTAAAATTCTAAACTGCAGATTAAGTGATAATCTACATAGGTTGAGAAAGGTCCTCACCAGGGCACCTTACACAGGAAATCACAGGTTCAGTTTAAAAGGGAAAAAAGGGTTTGGTTTGTTTTTGCACCACTTTTTCTCAATAGCTACCGTTCCAAAAAGCCAACTCTTGTTTAACAGAGACATAGATTTAAAAAGAAAAAGAGGGGAAAGTGGTGCAGTCTGGAAAACTAAGGGGGGGGGGAGTGCCCATCAATTTGGGAATGGCTGAACAAGTTATGGCAAAAATATTTATGTGACTGTAAAAAAATGACAATAGGAATAGTTGAGAAGAGACCAGGAAAGACTTGGAGGAACCGAGGCAGCGGGAAAGGGGCAGAACCAGAAGAACAAGTGATTCAGTAACACCACCAGCAGAGACTGGTAACTTTGAAAGCTGTAAGAATTACGATCAATGCAATGACCAATGGATGACGAAGTAAATTTATGATCCGCTTCCTGGTAGAGGGAGGATGGGCTCAGGTTGTACAATGAGGCCAATATTTAAGGAGAGAGTCTGTATGGGGATTTGTTTTCCTTACCTATGCATATCTGTGTGAAGAGTTTTGTTTCTCTTTTTTGCAATTTGTGGGAGTGAGTGGGTAGGAGGAAGGTGAAGCCAAAAGGAAAGAAAAAACAGAGCAACTCACACAAGTTTATGTGATATTCCCCAATTTGTGCAAAGAAGGGAATGATTTTTCCCTACTTCTTCTGGGGCCCAACTAGGCCATAATTACAGCATGCAGCTTCGATTATTTTTCTTTCCATTTCTATTGTTGTCATTGTCTATATGATTTTCCTGCTTTTGTCTGCATCACTCTACAATAGTTCAGATGAGTTTTTCCATGCTTCTCTGAATTCTTCATATGCCTAACTTCTTAAGATGAATATACCATAACTTGTTTAGCCATCCCCCAATGGATGGGAATCTACTTTGCTTGTCGATCTTTACAGCCACCAAAAATGCCTCTATGAATTTTTGGGTGTATTTGGGTCCTTTCTGTCTTTGACATTTGGTGACCCATTTTAATCTACCATCTGGGGTGCTGTGAGGGAGTACATGCCAACATTCTATGACTAATATTCAGGGCCTTTGGGAGAGAATATGCTCAACTCAGCTGACACTTTCATTCCCTTGGTGAAAGTAAAGTTTGGAATTTAGTTAGCGATGTAAGGCTTGCCGTTAGGTTGTTGATGGTTGTTGTTTGGCCTTTGTTTTCGAAGAGGACCAATGACATCACAGGTGATGTCTTGACTTGTGAGTGGACTGGATTTAAGTGAGGCAGAGCTGCACAACGTGTCAGCCTCACTCCCTCTTCCAGAGTCGTCCAAGTCCTGTGACAAGACAAAAGTCAGGACATCTGGTGATGGTCTGGGATGCAGCGGATAACCTTGGCATCTTCGATGTCTGACCAAGCCCTAAGTGCTCCACAGTGCCTGCTTCAGCCGCCTTTGTGGCCACTGGAACGAATTGTTCACATCTACCCATTTCACCAGGGGAAGTCTTCACACGCTTGGGGTAGACACCCCACTATCTCACCTACAGGTTTGAAGTCAGTCGGTTACCCTCCACCTGGGTTAGCCTGTCTGTCAAGACAGGTGTGCGACCACTGCTCGTGCTCCAGCTTCTTGGAGCTACAGGTGAGAGCTGTGTGAAGGTGGACCCCAAAGGTGGATGAGCAGCCCTGAAAAGGGCTTGGCAAACCCTCACACCAGAGGCAGTAGTCCTCCTGAACACCCCACACACAGAGATGGCTGACCTGAGTATTGTTGGCTGTTTTATTTTTTATATTTTTGGGGGACCAGAATAGTGATTTCCATGGTATAGGGAACTCCCTCTATCAATGCAGGTGGCATTCACTCTGCAACTGATAGGTTAAAATAAATGGCTAGCCCATAGTTACCAACTCATACTAATTACTACACATGATGCCTCTCATGGAGTTTTAATACTCTGATTTTTAAAAGACTATTTCTTATAGCAAGGATAATTGACACTATAATGGCAGTCTGTTCTCCTTAGGCGTCACACACAAGGTGGGTGGAGAAGTCAAAATAATGGGAAATGACACATGAGCTTCACTTGGGGCAGCCCCACTCACACACTACTTTATGTGTAAGGTATACTCTCTTTACCCCACCATTACATGTGAGTATTCATTTTCACACTACACTAGAAATTACTCCACATAACAAGAACCAGCTGAAGGAACTATTTAGCCCAGAGGAGAGAGACTAGGGGGAGGGGGTGGAAAGTGCCCATATCTATCTTTAAGCATTTTGAAGTAATGTCTTGTGGAAGAGGGCAAGCTAGGTGGCACAGTAGATAGAGCGCTGGGCTTGGAATCAGGAAGACATGTTCATGAGTTCAAATCCGGCCTCAGGCACTCACCAGCTGTGCTACCCCGGGCAACTCACTTAACCCCGTTTGCCTCAGTTCCTCATCTGGGGAAGGAAATGGCAAACCACTGCAGTATCTTTGTCAAGAAGAGTCGGATGTGAGTGAAAATGATTCAACAACCACAACTTGTAGGAGAGGGCAGAATAAGAAGCAAGGGGTAGGAGGCAAATTTCAACTTCATATGAAGAAAAAGTGTTCGAGCTGTCTAAAAGTTCAGTGGGCTACTTTGGGAGGTAGTGAGTTCTCTGTTAGTCTTTAAGTACAATCTGACCACTTGTCAGAGATACTATGGTCAGGGAAGATTCTTGCTTCTTAGAATATTTTTTTAAAAATTCAGAAGCTTATGGAAGTGAATGTTGAAAACTAAAACTAAATTAATTCATTTAAAAAAGAATATCACAAACAAACCATTGTGCTATGTTAATATCAGCTATTATAATAGACAAGCAATGATCAGAGCAAAACATACTCCCTTTGGTAATTCAGCCAGACCCTGGGAGGGAGAGAAAGTGTAATGTAGAAAAGGCAAGTGCCTAGATGCACCTATGCTGTTAATTTGCTCTGGGATCATGATCAATGCACTTCTTTTGTTCAACGTGGCCCCAAAGGGCAGGAGTAGGGATGGGATGGAAGAAGTTGCGTTGAGGTATATTTAGGGTTAAGTTTTAAAAAAAAAACCTTCTTGACCATTAGAGGTATTTCCAGGGGTTGCCCTACATGAGCTGGCACATATCACTTAAAGATGACAGCTTCCTGTTCCCCAAAGAAAACTTTAATGTGAACACACAGGTCCAAGGTGCTTTACCCCAGGCAGAGGACACCTCTCTTCCCTCAGTAGTCCAGGGGCCCAGTACATGTGAGGAGCCTCCCACTCAACTGTGGGCTGGTCTATAAACCCTGGCAGCAGGGAAAAAGGAAAAAATCCTCTGTGCCTGGTACAAGGTAACGATGCCCTGTGAGCTCCAGGCATATAGGTGGGAGATGGCCAGCCTATGGGTGACTCTGTCCTGGCTGGGAAGTGTGTAGGTGATTAAGGCTCAGGGTGGATAGCCTCAATGTTGTTGGCTACCCAGAGCATGGTTAAAGCCAAGAGCCAGGCAATGGTAGCGATAGCAGCAGAGAGGGGGACTGGAGGTCTGTTCTGCTGAAGGCTGGCCAAAAGTTGCCAAAGAAACAAAGGCACTGCAATGAACTCACACCTTGAAGAGTCACTGGGGACCCTTGTGGCTCCTCCCCAGTGATGGCCTTTTGGTAGCACAGGAAAGCAATAGTTTCCCATGCCAAGCCTCCCCAGGAATCACATCCGCATCATCCCTGATCTATGCCAGGATGGTAAGCCCTTCTAGGGGCCTGTGGTGCTGGGCAGATGGGACGTGAGGGCTGGGGATGTCTGCTGGGAAGGTCAGTTCCCCGAGGGCTGCTTTTGCCCTGATGGCCTGGGTGGCTGTGCTGTCATGGCCAGGATCTGCTCTGTGCCTCCTCAGGGGCTCCTCAGTGGCAGTTCTGACAGCTGGGGTGGCAGGGGATTCCATTCAGCCGGCAGCGGCAGCCCCCACTGGTATCCCCAACGCCCTGATTAGCAGAGGGTAGAGAGAACTTTAGGGAGATGACCACGCTAGAAAGGAGGGACAGGAATGAGCAAGGGCATGACAAGGTGACTTTGTCTCAAGGACTCACCCAGGGATGCTGCTGAGAGACAGGGGCTCTGTACAACACAGCGCTTGCTGAAAGCCAGCTGAGTACAGACCCCCTCAAGGCCCACCCACTCCAAGGGCCTATTAGTCTTAGAAACAAGGGCATACCCGCTTCAAAGGTCAATCAGATGTGGACTTCCTGGGATATAAGTTCTGCAAGGGTCATATGGGCATACCTGGCCTCCCCAGCACTCTCCCCACCAGGTTCCTGGGCCCTTGGAAGCCCCTTTCCCTGCCCCCCAGGGCCCAGGACTCACTCCAGGGCCCCAGCGTGGCCCTTTGGTAACCCAGCAGATCTCTGTGTGGCAGACTGTGCAACGGATCCAGTCACAGCCATCCTTCTTCTGCACCACAATCTGGCACTGAGGGCAGTGCATGGCCTCGCCCTGCTGCAGCATCAGCTACAGGCAATCAGAGTAACAGAGAGTCCAGTTGTTAAGGTCACCAGCTGGCTGAAAACAATGGCTCACTCTTCTATGGTGTGTCACCCAAAGTGCTTCTCTCACAATGGCCCTGTGAGGTCAGGTTATACAAGCACTACCAGAGTCAGAACCAGAAATGCTACATCCCTCTGAGAAGCCACCCCAGAACACGGCCCGGCTGAGTCAGCTGGGGGAAGGGACCGGGGAGTAGAAGTGGGAAGATAATGGACAGACCTCTGGGCCAGATCAGCTGACCCCCACGAGCCTCAGATCCTATCACCACGATGCAAGAGCTAGGGAGGCTGCCACAGTGACAGGGAATAGGGTGGGACCACGGCAGGGAGAAATTCATCTGGGGTGAGGGCGAAGGAGAAGGAAGTGCTCCACCTGGTATCTTACCCTTTTAGTAATTTTTGCTAAACTAGGAGCTGAGCTCAGTTGTTTCTACCTGTTGAAGAGATACAGCCACTAAATTTTGATCCCCTAGGCCAAAGCTCTGATCACCCTGCCCTAGTTGTGAGTCTGATGATTATGTTCTCCATTTTCCACATAAGGAAAATGAGGTCCAGAAATGGAAAGTGACCTAGCCAGGGTCACATTGAGAGTCAGTGGCAGTGTAGACTAGAAGCCAGCCACGTCTCCTGATTTCCAGTCCCAGGGGTCTCCACTAGGCTGCCAGGAATTCCATTGCTTACAGAAGGCACAGGCACCCACAGCTCCACCTTCTGCTGACTAGTCATATCTAGCTCTTTGTCTGGAAAATGAGGGTAGTGGACATTTCTAGCGCTTCTTCCCTCACTGGCCTGGTCTTCCTCGTCCCTCTCACTGCCAGGTTCGTGTCCATCCTTTATGGCTCAGATCACAGCCATTTCCTCCATGAAGGCTTCTGTGATCCCTTCTTCCTTCAGCCTCTCAGGCCTCTCTGGATGACCTAGGCCTCTATCACGAAGCCTAACTGGTATCCTAATTATGCATGTACATAGTTCATTCTCCTCTACTTGATTTCATACTCATGGAGAACAAGGATTGTAACTATATCTTTCTTAGCTCCAAGCACAGGACCCCACACAAAGCTTCATAAGACTGCAGGATGTAAATCTAGAAGAAAGCTCAGCTCTCATGAGGCAGCTGGGTGGTACAGTGGGCAGAGTGTTAGATCTAGAGTCAAGAAGTCCAGGGTTCAAATCCAGCTTCAGACACTTGTTAGCTGTGTGACCATGGGCAAGTCATTTAACCACTCTCTACCTTAGTTTCCTCATCCATAAAATGAGGACAGTAACAGCACCTTCCTCTCAGGCTCGTTGTGAGGATTAAATGAGATAATATTTGGAAAGCGCTTGATAAACATTTGAAGTGCTGCTAAATGTTAGCTATTATTATCATCTAGTCCAACCATTTCATTTTAGAGATGGGGAAAATGAGGCTCAGAAAGGAGAAGCAGGGGCAGCTAGGTGGCCCAGTGGATAGAGCTCTGGCCTCGGAGTCAGGAGGACCTGAGTTCAAATCTGACCTCAAACACTTGACACGTACAAGCTGTGCGACCCTGGGCAAGTCACTTAACCCCACTGCCTAGCCAAAAAAAGCAAAAAGAAAAAAAAAAAAAGAAAAAGAAAGGAGAAGCAGATTGTTCAAGGTCAGCCAGATTGTGTGGCATCACGTTCACAGAGTTACCATTAGAACCCAAGTCTTTTGACTCTAAACGCAATGCCCTTTCCCCTATGTCACCTATGTTTTTAATGAATTAATTTTAATTCCTACCTCCCCTCCTTTGCTCATGCTATTCCTCTCACCAGTTTTATTAGCCCCAGCTCCCTCGTTTGTCACATATCGAACACCAGAGTTCAAGCCCTGGTTATGATGTGAACATGGTGCAAATCATTTCATTTCTCTGAACCTTACTTTTCTCATCTACGAAATGAGGATCCTTATACTACCCACCCCACAAGGCAGTTGTGAGGACAGTGCTTTGTAAGCCTTAAAGCACTTTCAGAAATGCGGGCCTTAATTATTATTACCCAGAGCCTTCCCACCCTCCAAGGCCAAGTTCAAATTCCACTTCTTCCCTGAATGGGAATCATTGCATTTTAGAACCAGAAAGGACTTGGGAGACCATTTAGTATAACCCTCTCCTGATACAGATGGAAAAACTGGCCTGGAGAGGGGAAGACTCTTAGAATGTCAGAGCTGAGAGGCCTGAACAGATAACTTGCTCTGGGCCCATCCGCGCCCTCACCTTGAGCATCTCTGTGGTTTGCCGGGCAGCTACATCATTCTGTGCCCTCAGAGCGAGGTCATCCTGGTACTCCTTGCAGTTCATATTCTCATGAATGGCCTGTGGGAGGAGGGGAGCATCGATCAGAGTGGGCTCCTGGAAGCTGGCCTGCTTCTCCTTCTGGTCTGACATCCTAGCTCTCTGACCTCCGCAGGACGTTCTGCTGAGTGGGAAAAGCCTTGGGGCTGGGACGCTCCCCTAGCTGTAACCCGTATGCTGTGGCCAGCTGGACACCTCCAGTGGCCCAGCTCCTACCAGCGGCTCTTTTTTCAGATCTCTTCCAACACAACTTCCTCTGTCAGAGAGTTCATTCCTCAAGGGCCCTGGGCACCCCCAGCCATGATGTACAGCTTCTCAGGCTTATTAACCAAGGGTTATTAAGCTTTTCGTGTATCATGAACCCCATTTGGGCAGTCTGGTGAAGCCTTTCTCAGAATGTTGCTAAATGCATAAAATAAAATCCCACGGGATTACAAGGAAACAAATTATTTTGAAATAGTTAACCAAGATATTTTCAAAACAAGGTCACAGCACCCAGGTTGAGAACCCCTGCCCTAGAGCTGTGGGGGTGGCATTGTTTCACTGATACCAGCTAAAAGAACCACTTGTCTTGCTGGCTCTCACAGTAACTGCCCCATGTGTATCTGTAATGGTAAACTATGGGGTCTGGGCTTCTTCTGGGCCATGGCCGTGGGCCTCACTTCATCCTGTCCCTCTGCCCTCCTTCCCCTTAACTCTGGGCTTCAGCTCCTCCAATTATGAAATGGATTCTGGTTACATGAAGATGAAGCTTCTGAGCTTTTTTTCCCCTTCCCACTCCCCGAACATAGGAGGGATGAACTGGGTAATCCAGCCTCCCTTTAACAGTCCCCTGAATGGGCACAGGCAGGGGAGGTGGCTGGCAGGCATCAGGACAGGATTAGGTCTGGGGATGTTGGAGCTTGGGCGTGTTGGCTCGAAGGATCGTCTGAGCCCTCCCCGGCTGGATGCGGGATGTGGGGGTGGGGTGGGGATCCTGACCTTGCAGAGCAGACAGTTGATGTGGCCGCACACAGGACAAGTGAATTCGTTGACATCATCCTCAAAGAAGCACCAGCCTCGGCAGTCATTGGTCTTACAGTGATAGCTGAAGGCACTTCTGTTCTCGGCAATGGAGATGCCCAGGTCCAGGAAACGCTGATAGTCCTCCGGGCTCAGGAGCTACCATCACAACTGACCCTCACTGGGGGGGGACCCCTGCCCCGGACACCTTCCCTCTGCCTCTTCCTAGCATCGTCTCAACAGTAACCCATCCGGGAAGCCCTCCCAGATTAACTCCACCCACCTCTGAGGTCTCCATTAATCTGTAACTTGACATTTCAATCCAGTCCCAATGGCTTCCCCAGGAGAGAGGGCATCCCCATCCTGGGAGCTATTCCAGTGAAGGCTGGATGGCTACTTGTCAGGAATATCGTAAGAATCACAGGAACACAGAAGGAGCCTTAAAAGGCCATCTAACCTGACCCTCTGCCCCTGCCTTACAGATGACAAAACTGAAGCCCAGAGAATTGAAGTGATTTGCCCAAATAGCAGGCAGCAGAGCCCGAATTTAAGTAAGCCTAGGTCTTAAATCCTTTCCAAATCCACGGCTCCTTTCACCATACACCTAGGAGAAAGCCTTCTACAGTTAGACCCTGGACATCACCTCCTGACCAGATGATCTCTGAGTTCCCTCCTGGCTCTGAGATTCTACTAGCCTAGGATACCTTCCTTCCCCTCTCTGAATATTATTCACTCAAGACCCAGCTTGGGATATCGCTCCTCCAGGGAGTCTTCCCTGACCACCTGTTTCCAGTGACCTCTCCTCCCCCTGAGCTCCCACAGCCTGACTATGAATCATCCACTTTTAGCTCTTAATTGGACTCTGTCCTCCTGTGTGTGTCTTGTCTCCCTAAGGACAAGGGAGAGGTCTAGCTCTTTGCTCTCTCTCTATTCAGGGCTCTAATCACAACTAATTGATCAGGCAGTAGTATCACAGTTAATAAAAACCGTAATAATGAGGATAGCTAACATTTCTATAAGGCTAAGTACGCGCTAGGCACTGTGCTAAGCATTTTACAAACATCTCATTCAATCCTTACAAAAACCCTGAGAAGCAGATGCTATTATTATCCCTATTTTATAGGTGAGGAGGCTGAGACACAGAGGTTAAGTGACTTGCCCAAGGCCACACAGCTACTGTCTGAGGTTGGATTTGAACTCGGGCTTTCCAGACTCCAGGCCGGGCGCTTTATCCCTGGCACCACCAGCTGCCACAGAGAGAGGTGGTGAGTTCCCCACAGTCCCTGGTCTCTCCCTCATCTTCAGCCCTGGAGGTGCCCCCCAGACCTTACCGCTCGGATCTCGCGCTCCTGCAGCTTCCCTGGGCAGGAGTAAGTGTCATCAATGTAGGGGCACGCCACCTCAGCCTCCTGGCTATTCCGGATTGTGCCCTCAAGGCATTCCCTGGCAAAGGAGTGGGGGAGGAGGAGGGACAAGGTTGGCCTGGAAGTTTAAAGAAAGGCAGTGTGGCCTAGTAGAAAGCCTTCTGCAGTTAGACTCTGGATGCCTGGGGCAAATCCCTGATCTGATGAGTCAGGACAAGACAATTAATTAGTACTTATCTGGACAAAACGAATAATAATGAAAATAATAGCTAAACAAACAGTGCATTTAGGTGTGCAAAGTACTTTAGAAATATCTCTTTGATCCTCACAGCCTCTCAGGGACGTAGGCACTGTTATTATCCCCAATTCACAGATGAGAAAATTGAGACCTAGGGAGGTTAAGCGACCTGCCAAGGATTACACAGTGTCAGAGGCAGGATTCAAACCCAAGACTCGGTGACTCCAAGGCCAATACCTCTGTCACTACACTATATTACTAAGCCTCAGTGCTCACATCAGTAAAATGGAGATAATACTTGAAACATCTACCTCGTCCAATTGTTATGGAGAAAGCACTTTGTAAACTCAAGGTTCTACAGCAACGTGAGTTGTTATTATTGTTATTATAAGGCACTAGGGATGTTTAGCCTGTAGAAGAGAAAATTTAAGCAGACTATGACTGCTATCTTCCAATGGCTTCAATCCAGAATGAAGAACCAGAGGGAATGGGAGGGAAAGTTACAGGGAAGAAGTGTGAGGTTTGATATAAATAAAAACTTCCTGCTAATTAGAGCTATTCCAGAGTAGACTTCCTCTCTAAGCAGTGAGCTCACCATCAATAGAGGTATGAGACCACTTGTCAAGGATGTTGTAGGAGGGGTTCCTGCTCAGGCATCAATAGCTCTAGGTGACCTTTGGTCCCTTCCACCTGAGATTCTGGGATTCTGGGAGCCAGGGCAGAGTAGTACCACCCCCCCCCCACACACACACACACTCTGCTCCAACCCCTCAGGCTCCTGGACTGGATTGGGGACAACCCTCTTCCTCCCAGGCCCAGGCCTGGGCGTGGCCATCAGCAGGGAATAGCCCATGCCAGCCTGGGGCAGGGTAGGGGCAAGGGAGCCAGACCGTACTTGCAGAAGGAGTGAAGGCACTCTCGAAGGACAACTCCCTCGCCAGGCCCCAGGGACAAGTAGCAGATGGGACATTCCACTGCCTCCATGCTCAGCACGAGGCTCCGCTGGTCCAGCTGCAGGAGCTGAAGGTAGTTCCCCTCCTGCTGCTTCTGCTTCCTCTGAGCAAATGAGAGAAAGGAGTCATATCGAGAGAGAGCTAAGGTTCCTGGGAAGGAGCAGGATCACCTGGGAGTTGGCATGGGCTCATTATGCATCTGTCAGATCAGACTAGCCTCATTTCGTTGTTATTTAACTAAGTTTTTTATTGATATCTTTTGTTCTCACGCAGCCTACATTACCCCTTTACATCCCACTCTCTCCCCTTCCCAGACTAATTTCTTTTGTCAGGATTATAAGATTGCTAGACAAAGAAGACTTGGGAATAGAGAAAATCAGACCAGGAGGCCAAAAAGAGAGCTTTGGAAAGATCCCCCACCTACGCAAATATTTACAGCAGCACTTATTGTGACAACAAAGAACTAGAAGGAAGGTGGGTGCCCAAGGACTGGAGGATGGCTGAACAAATCATGGTATATGGATGTGATGGAATATTATTGCCCTATGAGAAGTGATGGCTATGAAGGATGCAGAGGGACTTGGGAAAGCTGGTATGATCTGCTGCAGAGCAAACCTCTCCATCACAACCACAACAATGCAAACAGAACGGCACTAAAATAATCAAAACTAAATGCCATGAAACAATTTTGATAACCAAGCTTGGCCCCAGCCACAGCACCCACCCCTCTTGTTTGCAGAGGTAGGGCACTATGGATATGGAATACTCTGTACAATATCAGACATTTCTGATGGGTTCATTAGTTTTGATGAAATTTCCCTCCTCTTTCTTATTCTTTATTATAAGAGATGACTATCTGGAAAGAGGGGTAGGATAGAGATGTTTTGGGAAATGGAGGCAACATAAAAACAAAAGATATCAACTCAATTATTTTTAAAAAATAAAACAATCTACACAAACACCACAATAACATAATGAAAAATATCACCAAAAAGACATGAGATGTTGGTGATGTGAAAACAAAAGATATCAATATAAATTGATTAAAAAAACCCCACCATAACTATGAAACAGTTCATATATGTAAATATGTATATATATATATATATATATAGAGAGAGAGAGAGAGAGAGAGAGAGAGAGAGAGTGAGAGTGAGAGTGAGAGAGAGAGAGAGAGAGAGAGAGAGAGAGAGAGAGAGAGAGAGAGTCAGAGTCCTTTTTGTTGTTCTTTGTATACTGAAAGGTTCACTCTTTGGTGATTAAGCTCAGAATAACAACAACAACAAATTTAAAGACATTAGAACTCTGAGAAATTCAGCAACCAATCTTAATTCCGAAGGAGCAGTGGGAAAACAGGTCCCTGCTTCCTCTCCTTGGAGAAGTGCAGGGCTATGGATACGAAATGAGGCAAAGCCACTGTATGCCAGTTTGTTTTACTTAATTAACTATAAGGGAAGATTCTCTGAGGGCAAGGGACAGTGAGAAGTAACAGTGATGTTTGTAAAAAAGCATAAATACAATATTTTTCTTAAAGAAATACAGAATGTCAGAGCTTGATGGGATCTTAGACCCTTTAACCCTTTTTCTTACACATGAGGAAAAGGGGGCTGAGAAAGGGAAAATGGTTTACCCATGGTCACATATTAAGCCTCTGTAATTCCAAGAACTCAAATCCCAGTGCAGGGGGCTTACAAACTATAGCCCAAGCACCAAATCAAGCTATTTGCCTGTTTTTGTACATGTTCTTACTTTCAAATTGGCTTCTGTATTTTTTAAATACAATAAAACTTTATTTAAAAATCCCAGGCAGTACAAAACCAGGTGTTAGGTCGGATTTGGCCCCCAGACTGTAGTCTGCTGAGGATGCCTGCCCTAAGATCCTAACTTCTTGTCCAGCATTCTTCCTATTTCCCCACCCAAGTCCTACACTTGGACTTTCAGTTAAAAAAACCAACTGCATGGGACAACTAGGAGGTGTAGTGGATAGAGTTCTGGCCTTGGAGTCAGGAGGAAGGAGGACCTGATTTCAAATCTGTCCTCGGACACTTGACACTTACTAACTGTGTGACTCTGGGCAAGTCACTTGACTCCGACTGCCTCACAAAAAAAAAAAAAAAAAGCAACTGTACTTGCCCAGGATGGGGAAGATCTGGCCACATTGAAATATATGTGAAAAAAAACTGAGGTTTGGGTTGACCACAAGCTCCAACAATATGAGTCAGTAAGTAGTATGATGTACCAGCTAAAAAAAGCCAGAGATCACTGTCAGGCTGTATTAAGAGAAGCACGGTGTACAGAGAGAATATGCTACATTCTACATTCAGGGCATGGTCTAGACTTGAACTCAGGTCTCCTGGGGCCTATTTCTGAGGCAGCTTTTTTGAGGGTCAGGCTCAGAAGGCAACCTTTGCTGTGAAGAATGTGCAAAACAAACAAGTCCACAAGTCTCAGCCTACAGCCAGGCAGGCTTAGGACCCAATGACTTCTCAATCCACCCTGCTTTCTCTTATGCAGAGTACCTTGTGTCATGGCCAGAGCAAGAAGGCCCTGGAGAAATCTCCTTGGTGTGGGACAGATCTGCTCCTGAGGAGCTCGAAAGAGGGGAACAGAGGGAGTGATCCCAGCCTGGACATTCCCAGAGGACTCTGGGGTCCTCCCTGACCTACCAGGTGGTACTGCCGCAGGGCATCTTCCTCATTCTGCAAGCGGGCCTGCTCCTCTTCGTCGGGCTGGTAGGAGCTGGGCACCTGGTAACCTTCAGGTCTAGCCTCACAGCACATCTCACAGCCTGGCCTCGTGGGCTTGTTGACAAAAGTGCACCCTGGACATTCCCAGCCAGCCTGGGCAGGAAGAGGGAAGGAGGGTATGATAAAATATTTCTACCCAGTCCAGATTTTGGTGGCTGCTGCTGGATACCAGCCCCCAGGTCATTCTCCCTCCTGTCTCAAGGAGTTCAGCACCTGGTCCACATTACCTCCTCTTCAACTCCCACCCTTATACTAGGGGATTTCAACATCCATATTTTTTAACCTCCCAGTTTCCCGGTCCTCTCAGTTCCCACGTTCTACAGCTTACTCCACTTCAGCCACATAGGGACTGTCATACACTCAGCCCACATTACCCACAAGTGACCACAGCTTTCTAACATTCCATCTCCCTAGGCCCAACCCTCCTAAATCAATCCTTTAACCCTCCTCCAGACCTCCACTTCCTCCACCCCCTCAGGGCTTCCTCAAGCCATTGCTACCCGCGTACTGAACTGTCTTCTCTGCCTTTCTAGTCACTTCACCTCCCTGTGGTGTTCTATTCTCTAATTGCTTCTCCTATCACTGTTCATCCCTCGCTAAACCTCAACCCTAGCTAGATTATCCCCCTCTGCCCCTACTGCCTGGCATATAGTAAGCCTTAGTAAATGCTAATTTCTTCCCTTCCTGAATGGAGATCCAGAAGTCCACAGGCTGGTGATTGGGTACATTATAAATTCATGTTACCCAACTGAGCCCTCACTGTACTGTCTCAAGGAAATGTAATTCTTTGATTCTTCCCTAATTGATTCCCTGTCTCACTCCCCCAAAGAAGTTATTCCAAACCTTCTCTCATCAAGACTCCCACACCTCCCTCATCCCTCTCCCTCTCAGCTAAGGGCTTTGCTTCTTGCTTAATTTTAAAATTTCTTTTATTTTGAACTTAGACACCAAAAAAAAAAAAGCATTTTCACATACACAGCAGATCACAAAGACTTTATGAAACCATGATCTCTATTTCAAAGTATTTTTAAAGTATGTAATAAGTTCCACATATTACTTTCAGAACTATCCTTATCTGGGTTTCTTTCTGAACTTCATTTTGATGTCTTCTATGCATTTTAGAAAAGGTTTCAATGGTCCACATTTTGGGGGACATCAGTACTGCTAACCACCTTCTACCTCTCTACCCCCAATTTAAAAACTGAAAGAAAAAAACCCTTATGATAAATAAGCATTGTCAAGTAAAATGAATACACACAGATACTGGGACCAAAAATGTGTCTCTTTCTGTACCTTGAGTCCATCACTTTTCTTTTAGGAGGTAGATTAAATGCTTCATCATAGGTAGGTCCTCTGGAGATAGTGTTGGTCATTGTATCAATCAGAGCTCTTAAGTTTTTCAAAGCTGTTTTTCTTTACAATGTGTTGTTCTTGTAAACACTGTTCTCTTGGTTCTGCTCACTTGATTCTACAATGGGTCATACTAGTCAACATTCTCTATGAACCCCTTGTCATTTCGTACAGAGCCGTAATATCCTATCACATTCAGATACAACAAAGGTTCAGACACTCTCAAATTGATGGGCACCCCTTAGATTCTAGTTTTTTTCCTTTAAATTCCCCCTTCAGGATGAGGATGTTTATTCTGTTGTCACTGTCCCCTCACTCCCAAACCCCCTCCTCGAATTATGCTTCCACTTATTTCCCTGTTAAGGTTAATGTATTTCTACACCAAATCGTTTGTGGGTGTTCAGTCTTTGTCTATTTCAGACATCCCTTTCTCCATGTTTGCATGCTCTTCTCATAAACTCAATTATGAGAAACAGTATGTTCCATCCTTTTCTTTTTCCTTTCCATATGTCTATTTCTTTTACTCTCCCTTCCCCCTCCCCCTTAAAATCCACAAATCAGAACTAATTCACCCTTAGGACACCTCTGTTTTTTCATTTAATTCCCTCAGTATCCTTAGAAGACATTAAAGTTCTGAAAAGACACTTGTTTCTTTTCCTCCTTTGGAATATTATCACAATATCATACACAGCCCCTTCAAAATACCCAAAGAAACATACTTTTTCCAGGTTTCCTCTTCACCTTTGTGTTTGCACTTAAAAGTTCCTACTCAGTGCTGATCTTTTCATCAGAAATGCTCAAAAGCCCTCTATTTCACCAACTGTTCATTTTCCCCTCATAGTAATGATACTCTCGGTTATAAGCTTATATTTTTTGCCTTTTGGAATACTGCAAACCAAGATCTCTAGTTTTTCATAAAATTTACCAGGTTTTGTGTGATCCTAACTGTGGTTCCTTGGTACCTGAATTCTCTCTGGACACTAGTAGCATTTTTTTATATGGGGGGGTGGTCCTGCATATTGGCTATGGCAGTCATTCCCAGGACTTTTGGGGTTCCTTTCAGGAGGTGACCAGCGGATTCTTCATATCTTCACTTTGTCCTCTGGTTCTAATAGATCTGGGCAGTTTTCACATGCCCAGGCTTTTTACCTCCATCAAAACATGGTTTTCAGGGAGCCCAATAGTTCTTAAAAATTTCTCCTTGATTTGTTTTTCAAGTCCAGCTGTTCTTTAATATCAGCTATCATTATTTTCTTCTATTAAAACACTTTTGATTTTATTCTAATATTTCTTGCTATCTCATCAAGTCCATGATTTCTGTTTGGTATATTCCAGTTTACAAAGAATCTCTTATTTGGGTAAAGTTTGTCATTGTCTCTTCTAAACTATTTATCCTTCTAATTCTTTTCTCCAGAGCTTTTATTCCATTTTTTAATGTCTTGCTTCATTTCTTCTAGCTACTCATGTAGTTCTTGTGGAAAATCTTTTTTTTTTTTTAACTTGAGTCTGTGCTTGAAGTTGTTAAGCAGCCATCTGCTCCTTCTTTTGGGATCTCTAGATTCACAGTAATTTTTGATTCAGATTAGTGTTTTCTTTGATTTATTCATTTTTCCATCTTCAGCTCCTGACAGGAGCTTTGGGCCAGGCTTCACCTCTTGCTGTATTTTTGCATAGGGTGGTTGTTCATGTGTGCTGCCTCCTTAGATTCCCTGAGTTCCTGGGCTGACTTCACCTTCCCAGGGTTAAGCACTCCCGCCCCTCAACCCAGGATCTGTAAGGTTCAGAGTGCAGGATCTTCAGGGCCCACTACGGCATCTCAGGACGACATGCTAGGGACCACTCTAGTTGCTGCTGTCCCCTAGGGCTTCCAAGGGCTCCTTGGGTTTACAACCACCCTGATGGTTGCTGTCTCCAGACACAAAGCCCTGCAAACTATACAAGTCTCTAGCCCTCCACTGGCTTACTGGACTGAGCTACCAATGGCTGGCAGCCCTCTTTACAAATGCCTAGAGGATGCTTACTGACTTTTTGTGCAGCTCTAGGGTGGAAGAAATCACTTAGTATAGTTTCTCACCGAATTTCTTGATTTAGTCTGGTATGAATTTCAGGTTTTTGCTGGAGTGGATTTGGGGGAGCTAGGCAGCTTGCATCTCTGTTTAGGCAGCTATTTTGGCCAAAGATCTACCCACTTACTTTCCTGAAAAAATTGAGTCTACTTAATGTGAGCTCTATCTTCTCTCCTTCTCATCTCAAACCCCCTTGATATCATCCCCACACTCTCCTTTCTTCCTTCAGTTTCTGACAAAGAGGTGGCCCTTCTCCTTGCCAACGCCAAGCCTTCTACAGCTACCCTTCATCCCACTCCCCTCATTTTCTCTAGTATACAGTATCCTTAATCATTCCCCCCCTTTTATGAATCATCAACCTCTCCCTATCTACTAATTCCTTCTCTACTTTCAAACATGCTCAACTCCTCAAAAATACCCTTTAAAAACCTTCACTAGGCCACCAACCACCTGAGATGTTGTTCTATGTTCCTCCCCCTTTTCTTAGACAAACTCCTAAAAAAAAAAACTATCTATGCCTCTTGCTTGGGGAGCTATGCGGCACATTGGATAGAGAAAATCCTCTGGAGTTTCATGACATTACTGTCTCCAAGTTCTCTTTTCTACCTATCTACCTATCTCTTTCTATCTTTTAACCTCTCCTCAATCTCCCCAACTGTGAGTGTTCTCCAACAATCTTAGTACCCCTTCTCTTGTCTCTATATATACTCTCCCTCTTGGTGATCTCATCAATTCCCCATAGGTTTAATTATCACCACTATACAGATGGCTCCCAGATCTACATATCTGGCCCTAGTCTCTCCCAATTTCTGAGCTTCAGTCCCAAATCATCAATTACCTCCTGGACATTTCAAACTGGATGTCTTGGAGATACCTCAAACTCAACCTGTCCAAAAATGAATTCATCATCTACCCCCACCCCCCAGAAAAATTCCCCTCTTCCAAACTTCTGTCTCATAGAATTCTTCCTCCAAGACACTACTCAGGCACCATCTTCTACATGAAGCACTTCCTGATCCCCCCAAATGCTGGTGCCCTCCCTCTCCAAATATCTTGAATTTAACTGCTTTGTATTTATTCTCTTTATAATTAATCTGTATGTATATAAAGCATTCTACACATAAGCTTCTTCATTGTCTCCTCTATTACAATGTTAAGCTCCCTAAAAGTACATATTGTTTCAATCTTTGTATTTTTATCTTCAGCACCTAGAAGAGCACCTGGCATGTAGCAGGCACTTAACAATGAGGCTTGATTGACTGATGCTATGAATGGGACTCAAAGAGGCAGGAAGAGGGTTGGCTTGGTAAGGGGGTTTCAGTGGTGAGGGCCAGAGGGCAGGCAGGAGCAGAGTTAATCCCTTACCACAGAGGGATCAGGGGCTGCTTCCACAGTAGAGGGAGCAGTAGTTCCAGTATCCTCAGAGGGGACTTTTTCTTGAGATTCCATGGCTCTGGGCTCTTGTGGACCCCGAGACTGTAGAGCAAGGTCTCTGAAACCCAAGTCTGCAAAGAGAAGAAGCATCAGAGGCACCCTCACCTGCACCCCCATTCCCACCATGGTTTATCCATCTAGTAGCTCATATAATTTTTGCAATTCCCCTGCCCTCTGCCTGAAAAAGGCCTGGGTATTACTGCCTCCATTTTACAAATAAGGAAATAGAAGACCAGAGAGTGGAAGTTACCTACTCAAGGTCATAGGATGGCAGAAACAGAATTCAAACCTGGGTTTCCTGGCTCCCAACCTATGTATTCTAGCTATATATTATGTAGACAGAACAGAAGATGGCCTTGTGTCTTCCTCCAGCTGTCCCTGGAATCAGTCCCAGGGCCTAGGACTGGCCCCCAGAATTGTTACCTTCTAGAACTCGAAGCTGCCGCTGCCTCTGTAGCTCCTGCTGGCTAAGCTGGGTGTGGTGGGCAGACAGGAGGTAGAGGTAAGCCTTGTCGCCATCTTGCCTCACCCCATATGAATGCAGTGTGTCCTGGTCACGGGGCAACCGCTGGCCAATTACCCATCTCTGTAGGCTTGGGTGAAAGCCATAGTCCAGAAAGACCTGGACAGTGGGGAGAAGAGACAAAAAAAGAGAGGGAAAGAAGGTAGGAGAGGAGAAGAGGAGGAGGAGGAAGAGAGAAGGAAAAAGTGAGGATGGAGGAGAGAAGTTGGGAGAAAAAAAGAAGTAGGGAGAAAAGGGAAGAGCAGGAAAGGAGGAAAAGGAGAGACAGAGGAAAAGAGTGGATAGGAAAGATAGGAGAGGGAAGGAGAGGGGAGGGAGAAGAGAGAAAAGAAGATTGGGATGGGGAGGAGAGAGGAAGGACTCCAGAGGATGGGAAAGGGGAGCAGAGGTCAGTGGGGAGTTACATATTAAGGATAGGTAGGATGAGGAACAGAGGGAAAAAAAGTCATATTGTTTCTCAGGTCAAACAGCTCCAGACTGAGTGTAAATATGGCAGAGGAAGAGTTCCCCACCCTTCTTCACTTCTCCCCCAATCCCCAACTTCACAGTACCCTTGTGGAGTGGATCTGGCTGGGTCCAACCTCAGGTTGAGGAAGTGATCCAGTCTGGCTACAGTGACCAACCCCATTCTGGCACCCTGAAAACCAATTCTACCAAACCCAGCCCTAGTCACAAGCCCCAGCTCTTCATACCATGTCTTTCAGAGAAGCCACTGTCATGTTGGGCTGCACCATGAGCCAGATGTGAAGAGTGTGCATCTGAGCATCCTCCACACCCACCCATAACCTGTGGGGAGACAATGCTGTCACTGGGAAGAGAAGTTTGGACCACACACAGAGACATAATATACAATCTCCCCTCCCCTGCAACCCTATCACATGCATAGTTACAGCCTACCTTTCTTGGAACAAACAAATATGCACTCAGACACCCAGGGTCACAGATCCCACAGGTACAAGCAGCTGGCTGCCCAGGGGAGAGCCCTGGGCTGGGAGGAAGAGTCCTTGGGTTGAGTCCTGGTTCTGCCCCATTTTAGCTGTGTGACCTTGGGCAAGTTATTTGACTTCTCTTAAGTTCTCTAGAGGCTGCCTCCCTTATGGGCTACTGGGAAGACTGAACGTGGTTCTTTACCTAAGGTGTGCATGAAAGTATGGTATTATAGAAAAGCGTCATTCTTGTTAAAAGTCCCATAGCTCATCCCATGTAGGGGCCTCACCCCAACAAGAGTGCTCAATCTCTAAGCACAGCAGACAGACAGACAGACTGACAGACTCTCTCTTGCTTTCTCTTTGTCTCTCATTCTCTCTCTGTCTCTCATTCTTTCTCTCTTTTTCTCTTTCTCATTCTCTCTTCTCTCATATTCTCTCTGTCTCTGTCACTCTCCCCTCTAGAGGTGGATTTCCAGGTCCCTCTTATCTCCATAATCTTGTTTTACACAGTGTGTCCTTTTTTGGGGGAGGGAATAGGGTGGGGGAGGTCTAGAATTCTGATTTTTATTGGTATAAAGTATTTCCCCAATAAGGAAACTTTCTCTACCCATGTAGCATCACCCCCTGTGGCACAAGTTATATTCTTTACAAAGTTGTCCAGGACACTAAGAGATTAAGCGACTTGACAGCAGTCACACAGCCATCAGGTAGCAGAAGAGGGGCTTATACCCAGGTGCTAGTGACTCCAAAAGGACTTTATATCAACTACATCATGCAGTCTCAATGTCCTTACTAAAATATAGTGTCCAAATCTGGACCATTTCTCCAAATGAGACTAGCCCAGAGATGTAGGGCAGAACCACTCACATCACAGCCCAACTGAGGAAGGAATCTAGCTGCTAAGTTAGGCTGATCCCATCCTTGGTGTCTGTGCTAGAGCAAAGGCAGAGGCAGCCAAGTCTCTGCCCTTTGGGAACTAACAGCCTATTAAGGGAGAGTGACCACACAGGTATCCCATCTGGGACAGCACTACAGGGCTCGGACTGTGAAGTTCTCCCTGTCTCTTGAGCTAAAATCAAGCCTACTTCTCAGCATCTTTTTGGGATAGACTCTCCCTGAAGTTTTGTCCCATATTGGTTCCTCCCTTAGGAACAAAGGACGAAATCCAAAGCTTTCTTATATATGTATTTTTTACCTATTTAACTTATTCTAATACTTGCCTGCCTTCTATCCTGTCTGAAAGTCAGAACTTATGAGTGGAAGGGACCTTAAAGGCAATAATAATAATAATAATAATAATAATAATAATAATAATAATAATAATAGCTAGCATTCTTATATAGCTCTTTAAGGTTTGCAAATTTCTTTATAATTATTATTTCATTTTATTCTCACAATAATCCTTGGAGGTAGGTGCTTTGATGATCCTCATTTTACAGATAAAGAAACTGAGGCAAACAGACTTGCCCAGGGTAACGCTGCTAGTATCTGAAGCTGAATTTGAACTAAGGTCTTCCTGAGCCCAGATTCATCCTCTAACCACTGCACCAACTAGCAACTACTTCTAATCATCTTATCCAAAGTCCTCATCTTATTTATAAAGGCCTCAGATGAGGCCGTAAGAGGTATAGTCATTTGCCCAAGGTCACAGAGGCAGTAATTAGAATTCTCTCAGAGATCAATGTACCGCCCCCTCCAAACAATTTGACAGGCTCTCCCTTCTGCCCAGTCTACTGTCCAGCACTCACTTGATCTCCTGTTTGGGATAGACCTCTGATCTAAGCTGCAGTGTCAGTAGAGCCCGATGCTTGGCCAGCCAGGTGGCACAGTTCACTGCCATCTTCTCATCCCCACCAGCCACAGCCCGAGCCAGCTTCAGGGCCATCTCCTCCACTGCAAAGGGAGTGAGGGATGTGGGAGAGAGAGACTGTAAGGCAAAGTATTCATCGGAGGCAGGGAAGTAGGAGAAAGGGTTTTCTGTTCTTTCTTCAGAAGCAGGTATGGAGCTCCAGAGAGTCCCTGGTTCTTGTAAATCTGAAGCTTGGTCAAGGGCATAGAGGCTTGGCATTTCCAAAGGGGTAAAAGTGAACTACATGAGTCTTAGGGAGAACTAAAGGCTAATCCTGACCTCTTCAAACTCCACCCACTCTCAGGAAACAGAAATGGAAGACCTAAGACTGAAGAGGTCCCCAGGTTACCCACACAAAGCCCTTCCCAGACCTTAAACCCTCCCCACCCACCCTCTACTTCCCAGATAATTCTCATTTACAAAATCAACAATAAACATAATAGCTCCCAATTCTGTATTATTTTTACATATAAAAAGGATTTTCTTTCCAATAACCCTATGAGGTAGGAAGGGTTGGTATTATTACCCTCATTTTACAGAAGCAAATGAAACTCAGAGAAGGGAAGTAATTTGCCCAAGGTCATATTTCTAGGATCGGGCAGCTAGCTAATGAAGTAAACAGGGCTGTGGAGTCAGGAAGACCTGAGTTCAAATCCCCCCTCAGACATTTATTAGCTGTGTGACTCTGAGCAAGTCACTTAACCCTGTTTGCCTCAGTTCCTCATCTGTAAAATGAACTGGAAAAGGAAATGGCAAACCACTCTAGTATCTTTACCAAGAAAACCCCAAATGGGGTCATGAAGAGTCCAACAGGAATAAAATGACTCAGCAACAACAACATACAGCTAGGTAGTGTCAAGGCTGGATGTTTTTTTTTTTTGGCAATTGGGGTTAAGTGACTTGCCCAGGGTCACACAGCTAGTAAATGCCAAGTGTTTAGTCCAAGGCCAAATTTGAACTCAGGTCCTCCTGACTTCAGGGCTGGTGCTCTATCCACTTCTCCACCTAGCTGCCCCAAGGCTGGATCTTGAACCCAGGTCTTCCAACTCTGAACCCAATGCTCTACCTTTCTTGGTCTTCTCTTCCATCAGGCTGCACTGTGCCCATCCCACTCAGATCCAATCAGCAGGCTCAGTCTGTGGAGAGACCATCCAGAGCCCTTCTTTACCCTAGAAGCCATGGGAGAATCCAAGCGAACAAGGAAGGAGAAGGGAGAGAATGCCAAGACAGGAAAATTCAGAAGTTATTTTCTTTTGGTCTGAGAATAAGTTTCTCAATTTTTTCTTTGAAATGTCCCAGTCATTTTTGACTTTTCCCTCTCTTCCCACATCTAATAGTTAGCCATGCACTTTCTTTTTTTGTTTGTTTGTTTTAAAATATTTTATTTTTTTTACCAATTACACATAAAAAATTTTTAACATTCATTTTTAAAAATTTTGAATTCCAAATTCTCTCCTTCCCTCCCTCCTCTTTGAGAAGTCAAGCATTTTAATGTGTTATATACATGTGTTGATACATGTAAAGTTGTACAAAACATATTTCCATATTAGCCACGTTGTGGAAAAAAAAAGACAAAAAAAATCCCCCAAAAAATAAATAAAGTTTTTTCTAAAATGTATGCTTTGACCTACATTCAGATTCTATCAGGTTTTTCTCTGGGAAGTGGATAGCATTTTTAATCCTAAATCCTTTGGAATTGTCTTGGATCATTGCATTGCTGAGAATAGCTAAGTTATTCACAGCTGTTATCATATGGTATTGCTGTTACTGTATACACTGTTCTCCGGGTTCTGTTCACTTCACTTTGCATCAGTTTTGTATGAGTCTTTCCAGGTTTTTCTGAAAGCACCCTGCTTGTCATCTCTTATAGCACAATGGTATTCCATCACAATCATATACAACAACTTGTTCAGCCACTCCCCATTGGCATCCCCTCAATTCCCAATTCTTTGCTGCCATAAAAAGAGTTGCTATAAATGTTTTTGTACATGTAGGTCCTTTTCCCATTTTTTAAAAAATTAAATCTCTTTAAGATATAGACCTAGTAGTGATATTGCTAAGTCAGAGTACTCACAGTTTTATAGCCTTTTAGGCATAGTTCTAAATTGCCCTCCAGAATGGCCGAATCAGTTCACCACTCCACCAACAGTACATTAGTGTCCCAATTTTCCCACACCTCCTCAAACATTTGTCATTTTTCTTTTCTGGTATATTAGCCAATCTGATAGGTGTGATGTGGTACCTCAGAGTTGTTTTAATTTGCATTTCTTTAATCGATAGTGATTTAGAGCATTTTTTCATATGCTTATAGATAGCTTTGATTTCTTCATCTAAGAACTTCCCGTTCATATCCTTTCACCATTTATCAGCTGGAGAATAACTTGTATTCTTATAAATTTGAATCAGTTCTCTATGTATTTGAGAAATGAGGTGTTTATCAGAGAAATTTGCTATATTTTTCCCTAGTTTTCTGCTTTCCTTCTAATCTTGGCTGCACTGGTTTTGTTTGCGTAAATCCTTTTTAATTTAATGTAATCAAAATTATTTATTTTACATCTCATAATGCTCTCTATCTCTTCTTTGGTTATAAATTCTTCCCTTATCCATAGATCTGGCAAGTAAACTATTCCATGCTCCCCTAATTTGCTTATGGTATCACCCTTTATGTCTAAATCATTTACTCATTTTTACCTTATCTTGGTATATGGTGTGAGATGTTGGTCTGTACCTAGTTTCTGCCAAACCGCTTTCCAGTTTCCCCAGGAGTTTTTGTCAAATAGTGAGTTCTTGTCCCAAAAGCTTGGATCTTTGGGTTTACTAAACACTAGATTAGTATGGTCATACTACAGTGTATTGTGTACCTAATCTATTCCACTAATCCATGACTCTATTTCTTAGTCAATACCAGCTTGGCTTGATGATTACCATAACCAAGTACTTTTAATTTTATTTCTTCAGTCTCTTTCCCGACCATCCTTCTCCTCTCTTCTGTACCATCTCTAGGCAAGCCCTATCTAGCCTCATTGGACTTTTATAAAAACCTCCAAATGGATGTTCCAGCCAATATACTTGGTCAAGAGTTATCTTTCTAGTGCATAGCTCCAACAACATTCCTCCCCAACTCTGAGACCTTTCATGGTTCCCTTTCACCTGAGAAAAACCTAGCTCTATATCTCAATATCCCTAATAAAATGTGGTGTGCAAATATAGGTATATGATATCCAGGGCCTTCTATAGCCTTGCTTCACCTTTTCAGCTCATCAAACATTTATTAAGCTCCGTCTTGTGTGCAAAGTCCAGTCTTAGTGCCTTCACAAACTCCTTCTCCCCAACCCTGGGTGATTCAGCACTCTCTGGACTCCCAGCCTTAGCTCATATTTTCACCTTTGCTTGGAACAGTTTCCATTTGTCAATCCCTTCCCTTCCTATCTCAGCTCAGGAGTTACTGTGCCCCAGTATCATCCTACCAGCTCCCCAAGCTGTATATCTCTTAGCACAGATGAGAGTATATCCCCTAAATCTCTGACACATCAACTCTGCACTTGCTGGGTGTTTAACAGACCTTTGCAGTTTTCATCTGGATGATGAGTTCTGAGTTTTTTTAGCTGCAGATTTAGCCTTTTAATTCTACTGTACTCTGGTATTAAAATGAGTTTATCTCCTCTGTGCCATTGGCATGCCAGTGGTGAGGGGAAAAAAGCTAACAACAGGCAGCTACAAAGCAGGCCCCATGAATGAGAGAATTCATTGGTGATAGTGACACCACCAGTGAATCTGAAAAGGGATGGGAGTAGATGAGGTTAGAGGGACACAGAGAACCCAAATCTATCATAGGAGCACAGGATTTAGAGTTAGAAAGAAGTCCAGAACATAAAATGCCAGAGCTGGAAGGAACCTTAGAACACAGAATGTCAGAAGTTAAAATAAATATATAATGTCAGGGCTGGAAGAGACCTTGGAACACAAAATGTCAGAGCTGAAAAGAATCTTAGAACATAACGTTAGAGGTGGAGGAAACCTTAGACTACAGAATGTCAGGGCTGGAAGGAATCTTAGGATGCATAACGTCAGGGTTGCAAGAGACCTTGGAACACAGAATTTCAGAGCTCTGCAGAGATAAAATGTCAGAACTGGAAGGGACATTAGCACAAAGAATGTCTGGGCTACAAGGGGCCTCAAGAACCTAGAGCTCAGTTCCGTTATTTTATAATGGGGAAACAGGCCCAAAGAGGGTAATCGTCTGGCCTATCGTTTTCAGGGGCCCCCAAGTTTGGGAAGGGGAGGGGCTTGAGAATAGAAACCCGAAAGTGACCCGGGGCCAGGAAATGAGGAAGAAGGGCCAGGGAGGGGAAGAGGGAATGGAAACTTTCGGCCGTGGGAGGGGGGATTGGGAAGGCAGGGGAGGGGGGACAGACACCTGGGGAGGCGAAGGCGCTGACCTGGTTGGGGCCAGGTCGGGATGCTGGGCGCTCGCTGCCAGGGCTGCCCCTGCAGGGGGTCGCGGGGCCCTAAGGCAGAGCTGGCCCTCCGTGGACGATTCCTCCCGGCCCCCGGCGGGCAGTGGCGACCTGGACACCTCCCGGGCCCTCGTAGGCTCCACTCACCACCCGATCCGGCCCCGGCTTGGCTGCGGCCCGAGGAAGCAGGAGGAAGGAGAAGGAAGGAGTAGGAAGGGCCAGCCCCAAGTAGGGGCAGAGCCGGAGGGGCGGGGAACAGGCTACGTCCAGGGCCCAGAGGGGGCGGGGCAGGGGAGGCGGAGTCACGAATCGGAGAAGCCTTATTGGGTGGGAGAGGAATCTGAGAAATTGACAAGGCCGGCAAAAAAAGGTGGGGGGGATGGAGACCTAGAGACGCAGAGAAACGTACAAAGGTTAGGACTGCTCGGAATTGGAATAATAATTATATAGGAATGCTAATAATATCATTTCTGTAGCTCTAAAGAGCTTTACAAACTATTCCCTTTAGTTGCTGTTCAGTCAATTTTTGAGTCGTGTCCGACTTTCCGTGACCCCATTTTTTTTGAGAGTTTTCTTGGCAAAGATACTATGGTGGTTTGTCATTTCCTTTTCCAGCTCATTTTACAGATGGGAAACAGAGGCGAACAGGGTTAAGTGACTTGCCGCCCTAGAATCACACAGCCAGTTAAGTGTTGAGGGCGAATTTGAACTCAGTTCTCTCGATTCCAGGCTCTGGGGCTCCCCTGTGCCACCTAGCTGCCCAAGCAACAGGTGTAGATAGCCTTAGAGCCCATCTAATCCATGTTCCCATTTTACAGGTTAGAAAACAGGTCCAGTCAGAAGAAATAACTTCTCCAAGGTCACATGGCTAGGCAGAGACGCAGGCCTGGTGGAGTGATGTGACCTTGAGGAAGTAATAGACGACTAACAGAAATACAGAAGGTTTTGCAATTTCTCTTTTGGGATCTTGTGAATCAAGTTCTTATTCACAACTTTGGTGCTGCCTTTTCCAAACCAAAAACCATTCTCCTTGGCAGAAAAAACAACAGCAAAATAAGAGTTGAAGGCCCCTCCCTCTCCAAGTTGCTCATTGTCATTGTCCCAACAACTCAGGGCAGCAAACTTTGTTCCTCTTCTTTTCCCAAAGTAACTTAAAAAATAAACCTACTTCCCTTTTTCTTTTCCTTTTCCTTAGCATTTGTCACTGGACTTTATTAGCAGACTAAATATTATTCTTTTTTAAATTTATTTTTATTTTGTAATGCTAGATTTTTGTTGATATTTTCTGTCTTTACCTTGCCACCTAGATTTTCCCTTTTAACCCTTCTGTCCCAGAGACCCATTCCTTATTTACAAAGAATTTTTTTTTAAGAAAAAAATTTAATTCAGCAAAACTGATCAAAACTTAACCAAAAAGCTGATGACACATGCAACATTTTACATCCATAGACACTCCCCTTCCCCCCTGCCAAGGAGCAGGGAAAGATATCATCTCATATCTTTCTTTTGTATCAAAACTAGTTCTTTATACTTTCACAACAAGAATATTCAAATGTTTTGTGGCAGTTGTTCCTTCCATTTACACTGTTGTGGTTGTTGGAGATGTTGTTTTCCTTGCTCTGTTTAATTCTTCATCAGTGCATGTCTTTCCATTTGCTGGGTATTTTAAAATTTTTTATTCATTTTGAACTTAAATGCAAAAAGAAAAAAAAGAACATTTCCATGTATAAGCGCAACATAAAAAGAGGATTAAACATAAAACCATGTATTTCCATTTTCCACCATTTACTTTTTTTTGAAAAACCATGTCATATGTATAGCCTATAATCAGATTACATGATGTAAGGGGGAGGGGGGGAGGGAGAAAAATTTAGAACTCAAAATCTTATAAACGTGAATGTTGAAAACTAAAAATAAATTAATTAAAAAAAGAAAAACCATGTAATAAATACTATCTCTGCTGTGTGCTTTTTTTCTCTCTCTCTCCACCCCACCCTAGAGAAGGCCACCATTTGACACAAATATGTATATATTTGTAAAACCATACTACGCATACTTCTATTTATCAGTTCTTTCTCTGAATGTGGATAGCATCTTCCTTCATAGATCCTTTGTTGCTGATTTGAGTATTTTTAATACTCAAAATGATTTAGTTCTTAGAACAATATTGCTGTTACTGTCTAGAATGTTCTTGTGAGTCTACTCATTTCACACTTCATTATTCCATGCATTATTCCATGTTTTTCTAAAATCAGCCAGCTCATCATTTCTTATAGCACAGTCATATTCCATCATCTATTTGTTGTTCAGTCATTTTTCAGTCATGTCTACCTCTCAGTGACCCCATTTAGGTTTTTCTTGGCAAGGATACTAGAGACTTTTGCCATTTCCTTCTCCAGCTCACTTTACAGATGAGGAAACGCAGGCAAACAAGGTTAAATGACTTGCCAAGGGTCACAAGGCTAGTAAGTGTATGAGGTGGGATTTGAACTCATGAAGATGAGTCTTCCTAACTCCAGGACTGGCACTCTATCCACTGTGCCACCTAGCTTCCAAATTTGTGGTTTTCGTGTTAAAGATACTGAAATGATTTGCCATTTCCTTCTCCAGTTCATTTTACAGATGGAGAAACTGAGACAAACAAGGTTAAGTGACTTGCCCAGGGTCATACAGCTAGTAACCATCTGAGGCTAGATTTGAACTCAGGAAGATGAGTCTTCCTAACTCCAGGACTGGCACTTTGTGCACTATGGTGCCACCTAACTGCTCCTAGTCTTTCCATGCTTCTCTATATTTATCATGTTCATCATATTTTATAGGAAGTTAAGTGGCCTAGTGGATGGAATGCTAGGCCTGGAGTCAGGGAGATCTGAGTTCAAATTCCACCTTACTAGCACTGTACCACCCAAGGTTGTTGGAATGATCAAATGAGAGACTTATGATGCAAAATGAAGTGAGCAGAAGCAGGAGAACATTATACACAGTAGTAACAGTATTGTAACAGTAATCAATTGTGAAAGATTTAGCTACTCTGATCAAGATGATCCAAGACAATTCCAAAAGACTCATGATGAAAAGTGCTATCCACCACCAGAGAGAGAACTGATGAACTCTGAATGCAGATTGAAGCATATTTTCTTCAATTTTCTTTATTTTTCTTGCTTCCTCCCCACCCCCCAGACATGGCTATGTGGAAATATCTTACATGACTTCATATGTATAATAGGTATAATATTTCTTGCCTTCTCAATGGATGGGGCAAAGGGTAGAAGGAGATTATTTGAAACTGAAAATAGCAATTAAGGAAAAAAGGGAAAAAATTAAGAACGAGTTTGTTAAATAAAACTCAATTGCCTGTTACATGTATTTGTGTGTGTGTATGTTATATATATAGTTGGGATTATAAAACAAATCGGATAACCAAAACTGAAAAAAAAAATTGAAAGGGAGAGGGGGGATAACCCAGCTCATGGTTTTTTAACAAAGTCAGAAGAATGAAGACAAGTGGGAAGTGATGAGTTGGCTACACGTGCCCCCTCCTTAAATGGATCTGGGAGTTCTTTAGGAATGGTCTTTTGCCTTTCTTTGTATACCTAACACTTAAGGGTAGTACCTGGCACATAGACATGGGGTAGGTAGGTGGAGCAGTGGATAGAGCACCAGGCCAGGAGTCAGGTAGACTTATCTTTCTGAGTTCAAATCTGACCTCAGATACTTATCAGCTGTGTGATCCTGGGCAAGTTACTTTACCCTGTTTGCCTCAGTTTCCCTGTCTATAAAATTAGCTGCAGAAGGAAATGACAAACCACTCCAGTATCTTTGCCAAGAAAACCCTAAACAGGGTCACAGAGTCAGATATGAGTGTCTACTGACTTGGTAACTGAATAAAGATAGATCTGTTGTGACATCCTTCAAGGAATCTTGTTCATCCTCTACCCTCTCTAATCAGAGGAAGGGAGAGCCCCCTGGGATAGGGAATAATGAGGAGGTGGGAGTTTTAGACATTAAGTGGAAGAATAAATATTTTGGGGGAGTCTTAAATGACTTGAAAGATACAGTCCAAATGGGAGACATTCTAGATCTACTACTACAAGGGAATGTCAGACAGTATCTAATCTAACCCCTGCCTTTTACAGATGAAGAAACTGAGGCCTGTTGGAGGGGTGACAATTTGCCCCAAATTGAATAGGTAGGAAATGACAGAGGCAATATTTGAACCTGGGTCCTCTGACTCTAGGACCCATGCCCTTTCAATTATACTATCTTGTCACTTCCTATCCATTATAGGTGGTTAGATAGCTCCTCCTCTACCTGTCTTTTTTAAAAAATTTATTTCATTAGTTTATTTTGATTTATCAACAACACTTCCATATACTTTTGAGTTTAAAATTTTTCTCCCTTTCCTCCCCACCACCCTCCCCAAGATGGCACACAGTCTGTACCTGTCTTTTTAAACTCCAAGTTAGAGGGCTATACAACAAAGAGGTAAGCCACAGAAGAAAAGATCCTGTATATACAAAAATATTTATAGCAGGCACTTTTTCAAGTAGCAAAGAACTAGACAGTAAAACTAGAACAGTGAGTGCCTATCGGTCAGGGAATGGCTGAACAAATTATGGCACATACACATAAAGCAATACTATTAGAGCATAAGAAATGATTAAATTGAAAGATTCAGAGAAACCTGGGAAGACTTACATTGAGGAAGAGTAAAATAGGCAGGACCAGGAGAACACATTTCATGGCCACAACAGCAAAAAGGAAAACAATACTGGAAGAGTTCAGAATGCTGATATACAGCAGTGACCAGGAACGATTTTAGAAGATTAAAGGGCCAAGACGTTTTGTGTTGCTTGAATATACCAATTTAGAGTGACAGCATGGCAAAGTAGACATAGAGCTGAACTTGGAGTCAGGAAGACCTAGATTTGAAACCTGTGTTGAGGTCCTTACTATGTGTCGACTGTGAGCAATTCTAATCTCTCTGAGCCTCCATTTTCTCATCTGTAAAATGGGGATAATAGCACCTATCTCCCAGGGTTCTTGTGAGGCTCAAATAAAACTGTGTAAAGTGCTCCGCAAACTTTAAAGCCATATAGAAATAACAGCTTATTATTATTGTTATTTGTTTACAAGGGAAGGCTCTATTGGGGAAGTCAATAGGAAATGACATTAAAAAAAGAATATTGCATCAATAAAACATTTAAAAAATGAAATTGAATCAAAAAGTCGGTCATGGTGTTTCCTCTGCATCTATACCAATCTCCCTAGACAACTCCCATTTTTCTTACTCATCCAAATCTCTTCTCTTTGTCTTTAGAATTCTATTCTTAAGAACTTCACATACCTCCTAGGCTGACTTCACCTAAAGGCCTCTAGTCCATGGGTTACCACACATCCTTTCTCTGAATCCTTCAAAATCTTCATGTTACAGCTAACATGGAAATGTTCTGCATGACAGTGTGTATGATGAGTATTCCATTTCTGGCCTTCTTGATGAGTGGGGGGAAGGGGTAGAGGGAGGGAGAGAATTTAGAACTGAAAATAAAAAAATAAAAACAACAAAAAAGAATCTTCATGTTAACATGTGCCCAGCTTTTCTCTCTTTGGGAATTCTGAGAGGCAGTGGTCACTTCCCCCAGGGTTATCATCATTTCTACTTCAGTAGCCATCTTCCCCTGGTTGATTGGAATCAGGTGCAGGAAAGCAACTCCATCTGTGACGTCCCTCAGTTTCTGAATGATGAAATTGTCCTTAAGGCAAGCCAGAAATGGATTTTATTCAGGAATTAGGAAGGTGCAGTAGATGAGAGAAGTGATCTCAGGGTCCTGCCCCTGCCACATCCTGGCTGGGTAACTCTGGGCAAGTCACAATCTCTCAGTGCCCCTAGGAGACTCCTCAAGACCATAAGCTGCAGAGAAGATGACAGTCTATAATGGCTTTACTCTCAGGAAGTTCCCAGGTTCCATCAAAAAAGAACGTATTGGCTCTTCGAACAGTACTTGTACAGCCGACCTCATGGAGTGATTGTTAAGCCTTAAAGAGCTAGATCAGTAGAAGCTGTCATTATTATTCATGAGGCTCCAGCTAGGCCTCCTCCACCTACAGGCAGTTCCAGGTCACCCTAGCCTCCTCATATCCCCCTGACATTTAGGAAACATGGCCTTTCTCTGAGGAGCTGGTTTCAAGCCAGGGAAAAAGTGGTGGGGTGAGGTGGGCCAAGGAAACCATATGGAGAAATGGAAGTATTTTAAAAATGTCCTTTATTAGTCAAAAGACAAAAATAGAAGCTGCATATCATGTCCTTGCCCCATAGAGTCAATTGGAGGTCCCAAGGGAACTCAGGAAGCAGGTGTCCAGGCACTGGAGCAGGCCCCTGGGGAGAGGGCCTGGTTCTCAGACCGAACTCTTTAACTGGCTCTGAAATCACACAGCCTGAAGGAATGTTGAACTGGTATTTGGGGACAGGGAAGGGAAAACACAGTTCCCAGAATCAGTAAGCTGAGGGCCTCTCTTGGAGGCTGAGAAGAAGTCCTTCATACTCCCCTTCCCTGGTCCACCATCAGCTGCCTGGGCATACAATTCCTCATAAGCCTCGGAGCTCTGGAACCAAGGACTGGATCTGATACCTGAGATGACTGCTTCTCACCCAGTCCCATCCCCCCACTCCCAAACATAGACCTTCCAGTCTGCCCTGGATAATGCCTTCTTCCCAGTGTTCCCACTCCAAGTGAGGCCTCTGCTATTGTTTTCTTACTGGCTGGCTGGTGGCCCAGCTCTCCCTCCAGCATCTTTCCTCAGCACTCTGAGTCCCCAGGGGAAGGGCCACGAGGGGGCCTTCTGGCGACTCAATTCAGGAAGCTACGGCAACAGCATGATTTCTAGGTGTCTGTACACTACCGGCTATGTACATATGACAATATGTGCACTACTATGCAGTATATGTTTGGCCTGAGTTTGCCACATGCGTGTACCAACCTCCACATACATTAGTGTACGCACATACTAGCATGTGTGTATGTCAACTGTGTGCAGTAGGTAACAATCATGTACACACACACACACATGCCTCCCATCTTTTCCACCGTTAAGGCACTTGAGTGGGGTTTGGCTTGATTCAAAGAGGAAGGTGGGGAGTTTCCATGAGGCTCGAGCTGCCCCCAGCCAGTGGGGCCAGTCAGGGTTAGGGCAGAGGAGATGCCCTCCTGGCCTAACTATATAGCTCCTCCTCAGTTTCCTGCCTGGCCTCCTCCTCCCTGGGGTCTTGGCTGTCTGGCACCACTTGCTCTGTCCCCCATACTCCAGGTTCCTCAGAGGGATCCCTCCCTCCCTGCAACCAGGGATGCAGCAAAATGCCCTGGGCGGTCAGCCTCTCACTGGGCTCCCGCCTGAGCAGGCAGCGCACAAGGCAGCGGGCACGGGTTGAGAGGCCCTCAGGGAGGGAAAAGGCGCCCCTTCGGATCTTGCCAAATAGTAGGGCAGGGGCTGTGTCCTGGAATGGGTAGCGGCCAGCCAACATGGTGTACAGTGCCACACCCAGGCTCCACACATCAGCTGCCTTGCCCGAATACGAGTCCCGGGAGGTGAGGATCTCAGGCCCCACGTAGGCTGGACAGCCATGCTTATCCCATAGGGAGTCATCTGGCCCTGTTAGCAGACAGGAGTCTTCCAGATTCTCCAGAGCCAGCTTTGTCCTAGGTTACAGGGGAGAAAAAAAGAGGAAGCCAAGTCACTAATTGTTCGCTTCCTTCTGGGCCCCGGCTCCCTTATCATCATAATAAGAAGGTTGCTTTCCCTCTAAGATTATGTTCCATCTTTCCATTTTCCATATTTTCCATTTTGGAGGCAGCTAGGTGGTACAGCAGAAAGAACACTGGGCCTGAAGTCAGGAAAACCTGAATTCAAATCTAGGCTCAGACAAGCCCTAGCTATGTGAACCTGGGCAAGGCATTTAACCTCAGTTTCCCTCAGTTTCTTCATCTGTAAAATCGGAGGGGAATAATAGCACATATCTTCCAGAGTTACTATGAAGATCAAATTAGATAATAATTGTAAAGCACTTAGCACAATGCCTGGCACTCAGTAAACGCTACACATACATTAGTTATTATTACTATTATCTATTCTATATGTATCTTATATGTACCAAGTTATTTGCATGTTGTCTCCCCACTAGAATGTAAGCTCCTTAAGGGCAGGGAGCCTGCTTTTGCCTTTTGTTGCACCCCCAGAACTTGGCACAGTGCCTGGAACGTAGTAAGAGCTTAATAAATGTTTATTGACTGACTGACTGGTCTCGTAAGTTTCCCTTCAGCTTTGACAGTCTATGTTCTATGGTCCCTTCATTCCAACACACACTTATTATGAGCTAACATCTTGCGTTCTATGATTCCTGGCTGCAAGGGGCATGAGGGGAGTAAGGCCACTGTGGCCATCTCTATAACCTGGATACAAACTATTTGCCAGGAGGAATTGTTTCATTCATTATATTTGTATTCCCAGCACCTAGTATACAGTAGATCCTCAATGAACAATTTTCCATTGATGAATTGATAGATATAAGCCAAACCTGAGGCTGAATGATTATCAATCCCAGTTTCTTTGATGGGGGGAGTAGGGGGTGTTCTGGGTTGGGGTGCTTGCTTTCAGGCACTCACCTCTCCTGGTTGACAAAGACAAACTTCCTCAGCTTGAGGTCTCGCAAGACCAGATTGTGCTGGTGGCAATGGGCCACAGCTTGAGCCATCTGGAGGAAGAGTGAGGCTGCCTCCCGCTCGGGGACCCGTCTTCGCTCCCTCACATAGCTGTGCATGTCACCATATGCCCTTGGGAAGAATACATAGACATGGTGCTTGCCCAAGACTGCCTCAGCCACAGGAGCTACATGAGGGTGTCGGGGTAGGTGGGCATAGGGAGACAACAACTCTTGATAGGAACTGGCTGGATGCACCTAGAAAAGGAAGGTTGGGATTAGTTGCAATTCCAATGATGTGCACCAGGGGCCAGCACCCACCAGCACAGCCCAGCAGGTCCTATGCAAGTTTGGCGTCAACAAGCTAAGGAAATATCGAATCCTGGACTATTGAGGATGGAAGTGATTCTAGAAAGTCATCTACCCCAAACCCTTTTACATAGGGGAAAATGGTTGCCCAGAGAGAATTGACTTGTCCAAGGTCACACTAGCAGTCAGCAGCAGAACTGGGTCTCATATGTCAATGAGCAGGGGCAAGATGAACCCAAATAACAGATAATCTTTTAAAACAGGCATCTTTGTGTCATGGACCCCTTTGGCAGTCTAGTAAAGCCTACGGACCTCTACTCAAAATAATAGTGGGGTTTTTTCATCATAACTGAAGGAAATACTAAATTTCATTTAGAGGCTAGTGTATAAAAGATATAATTTTTTTCCCATCCAAGTTTACAGATCCCCTGAAATCTATCTCACACCAGGTTAAAGAACCGCTGATCTGAAAAAAGAACGGTAATGGTAATGGAGTGCCATCTTCCAACTCGGGCAAGGATGGGCTGTATGACCTTGGAGAAGTCACTAGCCAGAGTGTGGGGGCTTCCTGATAGGCACAAGCTGGGTACCTCTAAGGGCAGCTATTAGCCAGGCCCTCTGGAGCTCTATTTTCTCCTTTGTAAAAGGAGCAGGTTGGACTAGAGCAGGAGTTCTTAGCTTGTTTTGTGTTATGGAGAAGTCTGGTGAAGTTGAACAATTCCTTCTCAGAAAAATAATTTAAATCCATAAAATAAAAATACCTGGGATTACAAAAGAAACCAATTATACCAATTATGTTGAACTACCATTATAAATTTTATTTAAAGTTCATGGATCCCAGGTTAAGAATCCCTATCCCAGATAAATTCTGAGAGCCCTTTCAGCACTAAATCTTCTGAACCTTAGCAGGCCCTGAGCCCTAGACACAGAAACATTCATGTTCTATGTTCTAAAGCCCACTGAAGCCCTGACATACTACGGTCTAAGATCTTCAAAGTGGAAACTGGATGATGTCTTATTAAGACTGCTGTGGAGAGGTACAGACTGGACTAGAGTAGATGATCTCTGAGGTCCCTTCTAAGTCAGAGAATCTACGGTCCATGCGAGGTCCTTTAGAGCTCTGACATCCTATGTCCTAACTAGGAGGGAAGGGAATAAGCATTTATATAGGGGCTACTAGGTGTCAGGCACTGTGTTATTGTTGTCATTTCAGGCATGACACAATTATTTGGGGTTTTCTTGGCAAAGATACTGAAGTGGTTTGCCATTTCCTTCTTCAGCTTGTTTTTATAGCTGAGGAAACTGAGGCAAACAGAGGTAAGTGATTTGCACAGGGTCATACAGTTAGTAAGTGTCTGAAAGGGCATTTGAACTCAAGTCCTCTTGACTCTAGATCCTGGTGCTCTATTACTGAGCCACCTAGCTGCCCTTTTACAACGATTTCATTTTATCCTCAATAAACCTGTGAAGTAGGTGCTCTTATTATCCCCATCTTATAGTTGAAGAAGCTGAGGCAGACAGCGGTTAAATTATTTGCCCAGGGTCAGACAGCTAGACAGTGTCTGAGGTCAGATTTGAATTGAGGTCTCCCTGACTCCAGGCCCAGCATCCTAACCATTGTGCCACCAGCTACCTCTAAGGGTATGTTTCTGGTATGCCCAGAAACACTGCCTGTTCTATAGTCCAATGAGCCAAATTCTAGGATCTGAAGATGGGAACGTCCAGAGACAGCTCTCTGTCTTCCTGACATTCCTGAAATTCTCTGGGTTCCTCCAGATTCCATACCCTAAGGGCAATCTAAGGGCCAGCAGGCAACAGGCTAGAAGTTGGCACCTGAACCGTTGTTGTTGTACACCACGCCCCTCATGCCACTACCTCCTGTCCCCACCATACCGCCTAGCTCTCCAACAGGACATTCTCTGCTCCCACCCTCTGGTGCTGTGGAAGAAGTGGTGATACAAGCTGAGGGGTTGGGGAAGGGTGGCTCATACCTTACACGTGTATTCTGTGTTTGTGGGGCAATGCACTGCCCGGTAGGCCCTGCCACCTTCCTGGGCCTCTAGGAGGATGTAGGGCCCCAACCTAGAAAAGGTAGCAGGAGCATCAGAGGTGGGCTCTGGTGGCCTGATGAGGGGCTGCTGGCAGGGGGCTGGGCAAAGCTGAGGGTCTCGATGGGCTCGCTTCAGGGGGGGCTGCTCTGGAACTGAGTCATCATTGTCATCATCATCAAATTCCAGCTGCTTTTTCCTCCGGGGAGAATCCATAGAAAGTGTCATTGGAGTGAGGTTCATCTAGGGACAAGAAGGTGAAGAGACTTTAAAAGGGGACAGGAAATGAGGGTTCCTAGGGATCCCCAGGGCATCTCAGGCTGTCACCTATGGAGTCCCTGGATTTAGAGTCAGGGAACCTGAGTTCAAATCTCGGCTCTCCTATTTAATACCTCTGTGATCCTGCACACATCAGTTAAACTCTTGGTCTCAGTTTCCTCATCTGAATAATACCTTTCAGCTTTCAACGACAGTATGTACCTATAAACAGAATCTATTGTATGGGTCAAGAGTAAAGAACACAGTAAAGGACATCATGTGACATTTTGGAATGGAACAGAAAATAATCAGTGCTGGAAGAGATCTTAGAACATAGATCATGGGATGTCAGAAGTAGAATGGAGCTTAAGCCAGAATGCTAAAGCTGGAAAGGGCCATTTTATGAAGGAGAAAAGTGAGGTTCAGAAAGAAAGAGATTTGTCCAAGAGCACAGCAAATAAGCAAAAATCAAGGCTAAAACTTCAAAACTATGAGGTAGCCTATTTAAGTATTATTGGTATCTCAGGAAAGGCAGCTAGGTGGCTCAGTGGCTAGAGTTCTGGGCTTGCAGTCAAGAAGATGGAGTTCAAGTGCAGTCTGAGACAGTTAGTAGCTGTGTGACCCCGAGGAAGTCACTTAACCTCAATTTGCCCCAACCCACATGAGAAGGAAACGGCAAACCACTCCAGTATCTTTGCCAAGAAAACTCCATGAACAGCATTGGCATGTTCATGCTATGGTCCACAGAGTCACAAAAAGCTGGACATGACTGAACAACAGGGGCCAGCTGTGGAGTCACAAAGACCTAGTTTCAAGTCCTGGGTCTGACACATAGTGGCTGTATGAGCGTGGGGAAGTAAGTCACTTCACTTTCCAGTGCCCGGGCAATTCTGAGACAATAGGTTCCAGGAGATTTGCTGATTTTCATTGGTAGATAGTTTCCATGGATTCCTTCTCAGCCAAGGTGAGGTCCAAATGCATGATTCCATCAAGCACCATGTAAACAAAGGCAGGTAGACAACCAAGAGAACTCAGCATGTTCAGGGGCCGGGCCGAGTGAGGGTCCATGGGGGGGGTGTCTTGGATTTAAACCTTTCTGGGGCCAGATCACAGCTGTAGAGCCCCAGGGGACCTCAGAGGTCAATGAGCCCAATTCTCTCATTTTACAGATGAGCACACTGAGGCCCAAGAATTGAAGTAACTTGTCCAAAGTCACATAGGAATCGAGTGGCAGAGGCAAGACACAAACCTAGCTCCACTAGACTCCAAATCCAACACACACCGAACCTTTCCCAGGTGCATGTCAAAGGCGAGGCTTGTCCTCTAAATGTGACCATCCCAGTTTCACAGGATCCTCAGCTCTCTGAGGTAGATGAGACACAAATCATTCTCCAGCTGATAGATGGAGACAGTGACAGCCAGAAAAGGGAAATGACTCAATCAGGTCACAAAGCAAGTTATTGGCAGAGAGTGGCTTGAAACCCAGGTGTCTGAACCCCAGCCCTTTTCATGCTCCCCCACGGTCCCTTCATGCTCCTCACAGGGGCTCAGGGTGGGGCTGTTGCTCTTAGCCTGGACAGAAATCAACGTCAGGTGCCTCCTAGGGGAAGAGCCTATTCTTTCTCTGGTCCGAGATGGCTTCCAGGAAGCCATCCTATCTTTCTTGACATCCTCTCCTATTCTCTTAGCCAGCGTTTTTCTTTCCTGCTGTAAGTCAATGTCAGGTATTCAGTTTTAGAGCCCTGAGAATCAACAAACATACAACACAGCTTTTACAGCATGACTCAATACATGAATTCATCCTTTCTCTTCCCTCCCCACCCTGGCAAATGAGCCCCAGTCACACACCTAAGTGACCCTTTCCCCTAGGTGGTACACTGGAAAGAGTACTGGTCCTGTAGTCAGGAAGACAAGTTCAAATCCACTTTCTCCCTAGCTGTGTGACCTTGTGTAAACCATTTAACTGCTGTCTGCCTCAGTTTCTTCCATTGTAAAATGGGGATAAGAATAGCACCTACCTCCCAGGTTGTTATGAGGAGCAAATGAGATAATTACTTGTGAAGTACTTAGCACAGTGCCTGGCACATAATAAGCAGTTAAATAAATGCTTATACTTATTGTGTTCCTTCCATCAAAAACTTTCAAGACACATATGCACCCCAGAAAAACACCTATGTGATTTTTAGTATGTCACTTAAAGTCTCTGTGTCTCAGTTTCTTCATCTGTAAAATAAGGCAATGGAACTAAATGATCTGTAAGTAGCTCAAAACCTGATACTTATGATACCACAAATATACAAGAAGATTGATAGACACACCAGGCAGAACCACCTCCTCCCCCAATATATTTTTCATATACATGGATGTGATAGTTAGGGCATAGCCTGACACATTGGAAAGACAAAACACACACACACACACACACACACACACACACACCCACCATGAATAAACAGACAAGAAGCTAGGACAGACAAATTCAATCCCCCCAAAGACGCATACTTCAGACAGTCATACCCAGGAACCTCTCTTGGGGATGGGGGAGGGGGGAGATGATGTCTCCCTGGCAACGGGCAGCCAGTACTCCGGTGAGACCGGAAGCTATGTGCCCCTGGGGCATGTGCCAAGGGTGGGAGTGGCCAGCTGTAGCTTGGAAACAGTGAGGGCTGTGGGCATCACAAGGGTTGGATCAGCTTCAGAAGGCCCCATCTGGTATCCCCTACTGCCTGCGCTCAGCCCCTCATAGCCCTGTGGAAAGTCATTAGTGTTGGACACGATAAACCTGGCCCCTCAGCAGAAAGGGAGTTGACTACTGTGGTGGAAAAAACACTTATTTGAATTCAGAGGACCTGGTTTCTTAGCTCCATGTTGAAATTTACTAGCTTAAATTTAGATAAGTCACTTTTCCTCTATGCCTCAGTTACCCCTTCTGTATAACGGAGACAAAATCCTAGCAGTAGTTAGGGTTTTATCAAGGAAAAGGCCTTTTAAACCATAGAACACTAGAGAGTGTACGTTGTTATTGTTCTTAATTTGAGGCACAAGGCATAGTGATCACGGTAGGCTGGTGGAATGGATGCTGGATATGGACCTGGGTTCACATCTTAATTTTGTCACTACTTGTAATGAAAGTCACTTCATCTCTCTAAATCAAGATGATTGGATTAGGTGACCTCTGGGGTCCTTTCCAGCTCCAAGTCTATGACTAGCTGCACTTGGCCCTCATACCCAGTCTACACAGGAAACACATATAACCTCACCACACTTCTGCCGACACACGTCACAGGGATGATGACACACTTCAGGCACCAGAGCTCTGAGGCATCGGGGCCAGGCACCCACCGACACAACTTCCACCCGGGCCCTGACACACCCGAGTCCCGGTGATCCAAACGCTGACACATGGACACACACACACACACACACACACACACACACACACACTCCTCTTTGGTGACATTCTCACCCCTGTCTCCATACGCAGAATACAACCTGATCACTACAACTTTCTTGCCTGTCCACCATGGAAACACACACAAGAAGCCCCCCGCCCCCCCCCCCCCAAACAGCCTCCTCTCCGCTGCTCTCTGGCCTGCCCTCGCAACAAAAACAAAACACAAAGAACTTCGACACTGGTCGACCTCATTACCCGCGCTCCAAACCATAGCTCTCCGCCACTGGCCCCTACACAACTCCCTCAGGCTGCCCCCCGGCTGCTAGCTAGTACATACACGAAACACAACAAAGACCCACAACTCCCCAGCCTCAGCCCTATACGGACACGCAGCCCAAGCCACTCTCCCATCCCGTACGGTAGCCAGGCAGACTTATGAGCAACGCAGAGACTCGGGACACCCCGACCTCCCTCCGTCTCTGCGCCGGGTCTCCCTCCACCCCGCGGGTCTACCTTGCTGTCGAGGTCAGGGGGCTCATTTGCTTGGGTCCGGCTGGCTGGGGCTGGGGTTGGGGCTGGGCTCAGAGAGCCCACCGCCCCTGCATGTTTGAGCCGCTGTCCCGTCAGTGCGGAGCCTCTGCAACTGGCTCTACAAGTGTATGGGCTGCCTCGGCAGATGCCGGGCCCAGCCACCGGCCTGGGGTGATGTAAAGCTGAGCTAATCTCGGGCCCCAGCCTCCCCCACCCCTCCCGCCCCCCCGCGGCGCCGGACGCGTCCCGCCCCGCCCCCTGATTGCAACATCCCCCTAGCCCCGCCCTTCTGGCCTAGGGCTCACATCCGCGCAGGGAAAGGGCAACCTCCCGACCCCTCACACCCGCACACACTACCACTGCGCCAGTCGGCACCCAGGAATCTGAGAGTGAAGATTTGTTGTCCTGGTGGCCCAGTGTACCCCAACCCCGAGCCCACCGGGGACCAGCAGGAGGAATCCCCATCTCTCCTATGACTATTGTTCCAAGACAGCAGGTGCATTGGGATAGGAGGCAAGACACCTGGTTTAAGTCCTCCCTGCAGTAAGACCTTGGCAAAATCACTTCCCTTTTCAGAGCCTCAGTTTCCACCTCTGTCTCATGAGGGAATTTGACTGAGGTCCCTTCCAGTGTAACGTTCTACGTTCTAAAGGCCTCCAAAGCTCTGACTTGCCATGAATCCCACACTACAGACTCGGATGAACAGAGCCAGTTAACATGCAAATATCTGATCAGACACTGGGAGGGGAGAAGTTTGGGGTGTGGGACACTACTATTTTGAGCAGTGCTCACATAGGAAGAAAGGAAAGATGGGATCTCATCAGTAACATTCCTTCAAATCTTTCCTCTTGAGCTTTGACAAACAGTATATCCAAGAACCTCAAAACTTGGAAGTCATCTAGTCCAATCCGTCATGGGTAAGAATTTCCTCTATATCAAACCTGATAAGAGGTCATCTGGCCTCTACTTGAAGACCTCCAGAGAGGAAGGAATTCACTACCCCTAGGCTAGAGACAGCCCGTTCCATTTTTGAATAAATCTAACTTTTATGAAGTTTTTCTCCACATGAAGCCTAAAATCTGGGTTTCCAAAATTTCCATCAATTTCACCTACTCTTACCCTCTGTGGCCAAGCATAACAAATTGAACCTGTCTTCCACAAGGGTAGCTTTTCAAACACTTGAAGTCCATCAATCATTTCTAAGCATTCTAATTCTCTCAACCAGTCTCCAAATAAGCAGATCTTGAGGTCACCCTGCAGTACTTCCTCTGAATGCCCTGCAGCTTATGAATGTGGCACCTCAAATGTGGCACTAGAAGAGATAAAAATACTCAAGACACATCTATTCAGATGGCAATGTATAATATTCGAGCTGTTGTTCCATCACCAATGACCATAGCATGCCAATACCAACTGGGGTTGTTCTTGGCAAGGATACTGAAGTGGTTTGCTGCCATTTCATTCTCCAGTGGATTAAGGGGAATAGACGTGAAGTAGTTTGCCCTGGATCACACAGCTAGTAAGTTATCTAAGGCCATATTTGAACTCAGATCTTCCTGATGCCAGGCCTAAGGCTTGATCTACTGAACCATCTAGCTGCCTCATAACAGGCATAGGAGAGCCATAACCTTTCTCATTCCTTCGGGTTTTTTTGAAGGCTTTTTTTTCATTTTGCTCCTAGATCATTAAAGCTAGGAAGGGCTTTTAAGATCATGAAGTCCAACTATCTCATTTTACAAATAAGGATACTGAGACCCAGAAAGAGGAAGCAATTTTTCCAGGTTTATTTAGCAAGTTAGTAGTAGGATTAGAATTCAGACCCAAGTCACATGTCTCCAAATCCAGTGTCCTTGTGATTATCCATGCTGCTTTGAGGACCCCTATGGTAGCCCCACTCCTAGTCCATGGTAACATGAGCTAAGAGTCAAGAGAACTTGGTTGTACCAGAGATTCTTAGCCATTTTGAGGTCAGAAACTCCTTTGGCAATCTGTTAAAGCCTATGGACCCCTCTCAGAGTAATGTTTTTAAATGCATAAAATAAGTACATAGGATTACAAAGGAAACCAATTATACTGAAAAGCAGTTATCAAAAAAAAAATTAAGTTCAAGAACCCTCAGTTAAGAGCTTCATAATCTATTCGAGACCTACCTCTGCCACTAAACACTCTTGGACAAAGTTGACTCCTCTATAAAATGAGAGGATTGGACCAGAAGGTTTCTTAGTTTTCTTCAGGCTCTGACCTGCTAGGATTCCACCTTAGAGGCCACTCATTCCTCCAGTCCTTTTCTTGTCCCCTGAGGGTCAGGTGTTGTCAGCCACTAGCTTCCCAGTGCTTCGAAGGCATCCTTCATCAGGTGAGACTTGGAGCCAGTGCCCCTGAAGAAGCACTGGGTCATGAGATGCTGGGGGCAGAGAAGCATCAGGAGTCCAGATGAGGTTCCTGGGGGATAGTCTGCTTAGGAGGCTCAGGACTGAAGTTAGAATCTTATGTATTACTCAAGCTTAACCCCATCTCAAACCAGACCAAGGTCAGCTTCCCTGCCAGCCAGAAGTGCCTCCTCCTGGGAAAGCAGAGGATTGTGAGAATCCCATAGAGAAGTAACATGGTATAATGCAAAGAGCTTGGACTTGGCAGGTAGGAAACATGATCTCAAATTCTGGCTCTGATGTTTTTTGGCTGGATGGAACCACCCTCTCTTAGCCTTAGTTCCCTCATCTGTAAAACAGCAAGAAAGATCCTTGCACCACTACTTCCCAGGTTTGTTGTGAATAAACCTTAGGGAGCTAGGAAATGAGAGTATTTCAGATTAAGTCAATTCAAGTCAACAAACACTTATTATGTACAGATGGCATTGAGATTATAAAGATTTTTTTTTAAATGCTGCAGTTCTTCCCCTCGAAGAGCTTACAGTCTACTGGAGGGGTGGGATGTATGGGGATACTTATAGTAAGTTGTATTCTCTGGAGAGAAGTCCTTGCCTTTGGTACTAACTAAACTTTCTAATGTTTATAAAGACAGTGCTGTTTTTGAAGGTACTGCTCAATTTAACAACATCCCAGTACCCACAAAGAACTTTACCTGACTTGAGAGCTCTCAGGTGACTCTCAGCCTGTTCAGGACCCCCACACTCTGGGTCTCCTGTCAATCAGCCCACATTTTCTGAGCTCACTTGTGTGCCTAGCCCTGTCCTCCTGGCTCAGGAAGGCACTGGAAAAGAATTCTGTCTAGCCCTGCCTCCAGATATTTCATAGTCTATTTGGGGAATGGAATGGTAGCTCCTTGATGGCTGGGAAAATATCATTTTTTGTGTGTTTAACACGTAACAGGCTCTTAATATTTGTTGAATTGAAGGAAGACCCATGTAGGGAAACAGAGAAAAGACAATCCCAGACCAACTATGTTCACCTGTTCCCGGTAAAATGAGACTGGAAATGGAAGGGGGTCTTAAAGAAGGGCATGTTTGGAAGGGCAGAGAGGAGAGGTGAAGACAGGTTAGCCAAGACTTGAGGAGCACAATGTACATAGAAGGCGGCTGCCTGGATGGGGAGAGGACTGGAAAGCAGGCTGTGGAAAGATCAGCTGGAGCAACTGGGGAGATAGTATGGTTAGTCTGGAGAAAAAGAAATGTAGCAAGAATATGAGAAGCAGCCTAGTGTTAGGGACACTAGATTAGGAATAGTAGGACTTGGTTTTCCATCCTGGCTCTCCTACTTCCTGCCTGTGTGACCTTGGATAAGTGATCAAACCTCTCTGGCCTCAGTTTCTTCCTCTGTAAAATGAAGGTATTGAACTAGATGATCTCAAAATCCCTTCCAGAGCTAAATCTTGTAATCCATGTGAAGTGGTATTAGATTTGTTGGGCTTACCCTCAAAGGGAGAAACTAGAAAGAAGGAGCAGATAATGTAGAAAGGCTGATTTAAGCTTAATATTACAAAACAAAACAAACTCTAGCCAGGGGTGGGGAACCTGTGGCCTTCTAGGTCCTCAGGTGTGGCCTTTTGACTGAATCCAAGTTTACAGAGCAAATTCTTTTATTAAGGGGATTCGTTTCATGAAATTTGGATTCAAAGGGCCACACTTGAGGACCTAGAGGGCTACATGTGGCCTCGAGGCTATAGGTTCCCCACCCTGCTCTAGACCAATCAGAGCTATTCAAAAGTAGATTAGTGGTGCTTTAATGGGTAGTAAGCTCCCCATCACTGCTGTGGTTTATCCTTTGTTCTTGAAGAGGGCCATGACATCAGGAAGATGATGACATGACTTGCAACTGAATTGGATTTGAGTGAGGAAGGGCTATGCAAAGTCACCAGCTTCACTTTCTCCTCCAGAATTATCTGGGTCCAGTGGCCAGATATAGATCAGGATGACAGAGATGGCCCAGGATGCAGTTGGAGACCTTGGCCTTTTTAAGTTAAGGTCTTTTCAAGTTCTCACTTTGAGTGAGGTAACACCCATTCAGTGATTAGGCCAGTTTAAGAAGTGAATCAAGGGATGGCAATTCAATTGCAAGTCATGTCATCATCTTCCTGATGTCATGGTCCTCTTCGAGAAGGAAGGACAAACCACAACCTGTGAGTAGTCTGAGCTGCCCCAATGGGGACCCAGTTGGCCAGTTCCAGTTGGGCAACTCAGCTTTTCCTCCTTTCCTCTCCCCTTCTCTCCTCTCCTCTTGGTCCCCACATGGTGTATCATGCCCTTACCTGAGGGTATTTTGCCCAAAGGAAGGTAAATTTTGATGGCTGAAACCTACCTACTTATCTTGGGGTTTACTGGCTAGATTTCTTAAACCCAATTCATTCTGGCTCACATTGACTGGCCAACAATAGGTCCCTGCCTAAGCACCACTTAATGGTTATTTTGGGGGCCCTCACAGTTCTGAGTGAATGTAAATATTAATTGTTTCTCTTTCAGCAAGCAGGGTCTTCCCATTCCATCAGCTTAGGTCTGCAAGAAGAGAGGGCATGACTATTTGGCAGGGTTGTAGTAGAGAGAATTCATACTTGGGATCAAGGTTGGATTAACTTTCATCTATGACATTCATTCACATGGCTGGTAAATAAATGTCAGACTCAGGACACAAACCTGAGTCGTCTGATTCTTAAAATTACATGTTTGGACTATTAGACTTCGAACTTCAGCAGGCTAGGGTGTGTGTGACACTCACCTAAATTTTCTTCCAGTTCTAACACTCTGGATTTTTAGGATTCTATGAGAAGGCTTAGAAAACCTCAGATGACCTGGTCAAGCTTGGAGTCAAGCAGAGTAATCCAAGTGCCAACCCCAGCTGAGCTGAGCTGTTCAGAGAGGCTCCAAGGGGGAGTATAGCCAAGCCTGGACCCTACCCAGAAGCAGGGCAGGCAGGGATGACAGAGCAGTCAGTCACCACCCTGATGCAACATCCCGGTAACCAGAGAAAGTGCTTCCCTGGCAAACAAGGTTAGTGCTGGGCAGGGCCCAGAATGCCAGCCCTCGGGGCAAAGTGTCAGAAAGCTCATGACCCTTGCTCTCTCCTTGTTACCTCCTATCCCCATAAGCTTGTTTTGTTCCCCTCAGGATACTTTAATCCCTAGACTGTTTCCTTCTCCTGCCCAGCTATGTCCTTCAGCTCACCTTCACTATCTAAGAAAAAATTATAATCTCAGAGGACATCACAGCCAAAAGGAATCCTAGAGGTCCTTCAGTCCAGTCCCAAGCATACCTCACCCCCTATTTTTCAGAGGAGGAAACTGAGGCCAAGAGAGGCAAAGCAACTCTGCTACTTAGCTGTGTGACCTTTAGCAAGTCACTTTTCTACTAGAAGGGTGGATGAGATGGCCTCTTCAGTCACAGCTCTAAATCCTATTATTCTAGAGGGCAAGAGCTGTGTCTTATAGAGAGTTAAAGATAGAAAGGGCCTTAGAAATGGTTTCATCCATGGGGTAGCTAGATGGTGCAGTGGATAGAGCATTGGCCAGGGAGCTCGGAGGACCCAAGCTCAAATGTGACCTCATTCACATAACACTCACTAGCTGTGTGACTCTGGCAAGTCACTTAACCCCAACTGCCTTACCACAAAAAAATAAAAGGTTTAGTCCAACCCTCTCATGTTACAGAGAAAGAAACTAAGATCCAGAGAGGGCAAATGATTGCCCAAGTAATACAGCATCAGTGGCACAGCCTAGACTAGAACCCAAGACTCCTGAATCCTAATCATAGCCTTTTACTGCTGCCTGGGCTTCTTCCAGGATCCTAGAGCCCATTCAGCTCATGACCATAGACACCATCTTTCCCTAAAGATGACTTTCCCAGCTTGGCCCCTGGTGCCCAATGAGGGGAGATGAAGGCACTTGTCTGCCCAGGTATTGCCTTTTGAAGGGTCCTGCCCTTCTGGTTGCTGGGAGTGACTGGGAGGGGTTGGCTACAGACAGGAGAAAAACTGGCTCCACTAACAATGTCCTAAGGCTGATCTAATCATTCTAACTCACATTTCTCTAGGGCTTTAATATTTACAAAACACTTTCCTTCTTTCCATCAGCTTTGTCAGTTGGATGATCCCAGGTCACAAAACTGGTAAGTGTTGAAGTTCAGATTCCAATCCATATCCCTCCTGACTCAAAAGTCCTCCTTCACTGCCTCATTTTAAAAAAAAAATTAGTATAGTTTGTTTTTACAACGTCTTTATTTCTGAATATACCCCTCCTCCCTTCATTGCCCAGGGATCCATCCTGTGAAACAAAGAATAAGAGAAAGGGAGTTCAATAAACTACCTAATATATCGGTCCTATCTAATAGTAGATGCAGAATTCCACACCCATAGCCCCCCACCTCTGCAAAGAAGGGAGGGAGGTCCAACCTTCTTTTCACATTAGAACCCAGTCAGCCTATAATTATTCTCCAGCACCAAGGCACAGCACCATGGAATGAAATCATGGACCTGGACCTTAGGAGACACTCATTTTACAAAAAAAGAAATTGAGGCTTAGAGAGGAGAAGGGATTTGCCCAAGATCTCACACTAAGTCCTAAGTCTGAGTCTAGAACCTGGGTCTTCTGTCTCCCTGGTCAGTTCATTTTATCATTAAGGCCCACATAGAGCTTCAATTCAGTTTCAGTAAGTGTACATTCAGGGGATTCTATTTTGTTCAGGTGTTATACTAGGCGCTAGAGCTGCAAAGACCAAAATCAAACCATCGCTCCCCTGCCTTCAGGGAACTTACATTCTACTGGATCTTGGTTTATAATTCAATTTGCTTCAACAAATATTTGCAGGGCGTCCATCATTCCCTATGCCTAGTCTTCTGCGGGGAGGATTGTGTGGGAGATAAGAAGGACAAAGACTATAATGAGTGGTCATGATCAGCCCATTGGGGCCCAATGGCACACAGCACACTTCACAGAACTCTCTCTTCCATTGTGACTTCATTGGACTAGAGGCTATTCCCATCATTTTATATCTGAGGAAACTGAGGCACAGAGACCTGAAATAGGGCTCAACAAGTTTGTTTTGCCAGACCCCAGGTTTTACAGCCATACAAATCTTGCTGTTTTCTAAAAGGGAAGACAAATAAAAGACAGCCTGAGACAGTAGAACCCTGGCCCCACCTCCGGGTGAGTGAGATCTGCAGAATCACAGAGCATCAGAGCCAGAACTCTACTGATCATCCCATCCAACCCCTTCATTTAATAGAAGATACCTAGCTCAGCGAGATGTCTCAGCCAAGGTTATACTATGGAGGGCAGAGCCAAGACTCCGGACTTAGCAGTGGGTCTTCTCTCTCCAAGTTCATTTCTTTGTCCAAGACACCACAGCTTCTTCCCCTAGTGAGGGGTACAGCTTGCTGATGGGCCTGGAAGTCTTCTTTGGAAGGTCTCAGAGAGGGAGCTAAGGACATATGGAGCAGTGAGACTCAGTTAGCAAATGACCGGAGCTGAGATTCAACAACGGTCTTTAGACTCCAGGTTCCCTGCTCGCCTCTACCACAAGCTACCTCTTAACTGAACTGTATTGTTCAAGATGTCGACAATGCAGTGCAGGGGGAGGGGAAAGATGATGATGATGACATTCAGTCATTTTTCAATCGTGTCTGACTCTCTGTGACATCATTTGGAGTTTTCTTGGCAAAGATACTGGAAGGGTTTGCTGTTTGCTTCTCCAGCTCATTTTACAGATGAGGAAACTGAGACAAACAAGGTTAAGTGACTTGCCCAGGGTTACACAGCTAGTATGTGTCTGAGGCTGGATTTGAACTCAGAAAGATGAGTTTTCCTGACTCCAGGCCCAGTACTTTATCCACTTACCTGCCCCATGAGTTTAAATCCTGGCTCTGCTCTCTATGATGGGATCCTTGTACATCTTTCCTTACTTTGTGAGGAAAGCACTTTGTAAATGTTAAATCACTAGAAGAAATGAGAGTTACCATCACCTGGGCAGCTTGTATATCCTAAGGTCATAGACTCACTTAGGGGTCCTCTAATCCAACCCATTCGATTTGTAGGTGAGGAAACTGAGGCCCAAAGTCACACAGTTAGTATCTAAAGTGAGATTCAAACTCAGATCTTCCTGACTCCACCCAGGTCCTCTGATGCCAGAACCAGTACTTTTTCCTCTGAACCAATCCCTTCTTCTCTCCAAAAACTACGCCTGAGAGGACCCTGGAAAAGGCTGAGGTGGTGGCAAAGTGGAAAATGTAGCCAGGCTTGGGGCCCTTTACCTTTTCCAGTGTCAGAATTCTTAAGAGAGGAAGGGAGGAAGGAAGGAAGGGAAGGAGGAAGGGAAGGAGGGAGGAAGGAAAGGAGGGAAGGAGGGAGGGGGGGAGGAAAGGAAGAAAGGAGGAAGGAAAGGAGGGAAGAAGGAGGGAGGAAAGAAAGGAAGGAAGGAAAAGAGGGAAGGAAGCAGGGAGGAAGGAAGGAAGGAAAGGGAAGGGGAATTTTAGCCTTGCAGGGAGGTGGGGGCGTTAGCAGGGATTGATTGATACAGGGACTTGGCTTCTTGGCACTCAGACAGCCTTAAGAAAGCCAGAAAGTATGTGGGGAGAGAAAACCAGACATCTCCCAGTATAGGTGTGGGGATGTAGGAGGGGGAGTGGGAAGAGGAGGATTGTGGATATAAACTTCCCAGCTCTCCGTGTAGCTTAGTGAAAAGAGCACTGTTTCTGGAGTTAAATCTGGGCTCACATCCTGCCTCATATGTTTACTACCTCTGTGACCTTGGGTAAGTCACTTAACCCTTGGGTAAGTCTGCAGTTTTCTCCTCTGTTAAATGAGGACTTTGAAAGAGGGGCCCTTGGAGAGCTCTTCCATCTCTACACCCATAGTCTTGTGAATCTTAAATTCCTGGATGCCAGCAATATGTCTTCTACTGCCCCCTTCCCCCCAGTCAGTGTCTAACTTGGGGAGAGGAACATAGAGGTAATTCCCTTTTCTAAAAAGTGTTAAGCTTTACAATTTACAAAGTACTTTCCTCACAATAACCCTTAATTTTAAAGACCAAGGAACCAAAGCCTAGAGAAATCATTTGCCAGTTGTTATACAGCCTGTCAGTCAATAAGCATTTATTAAGCTCCTACTAGGACAGCTAAGTGGCGAAGTAGACCACTGGGCCTGCAGTCAGCAAGACTCATCTTCCTGAGTTCGAATCTGGCCTCAGACACTTACTAACTGTGTGACCCTGTACAAGTCACTTCACCCTCTTTGTCTCAGTTTCTTCATCTGTAAAATGAGCTGGAGAAGGAAATGGCAGACCACTCCAGTCAGTAGCTTTGCCAGGAAAACCCCCAATGGGGTCTCGAAGGACAAGACTGAACAGCAGCTGCAACATGCTAAGTTAAGACAGGGCAGCCACCACAGAGAGGCGATGGACTCATGAGACACACATTTTCTGACCTGGTCAGTGGGGGGATTTATTTGTCATAATTGTTACAGTTGTTGCATTTGTTATGAAGATTTTCTTTTTCTTTTCAATTCAGAGGAGCTAGGAGGGAGAGAAAATAAATGCTTGTTAAATTAAGAAATTTTTAAAAAGTGATAAAAGAAGAAAAAAAGGGGGCATTCCCAGGCACTCAGAGGGCAAAGCCCCCACTGCCTCCAGAAGGAGAATCCCAGGAAAAGCAGGTAGTACCTTCTGCTCTCAAGCCCGTGTTCCCATGATTCTTCCCTCCCAGCTTCCTTCCTCTCCCCTCCCCCCACCCCAATACCTGGCACAGCTCGGAAGGTTGGGCGGAGGGAAGGGGGTGGATCCCACTCCCCGGTTTCCCTTTCTCAGAAAGACTCCAGGCTGGCCAAAGGAATTGTCTGCCTGCTGGTTGCATCAGAAGGGCTTACGCAAGGAGCTGGCCTCTTGGCTTCACAGCCTGACTTTGTTCCCAAGGGTAGCCCCCCTTTCCTTCACCCAGCCCACCTCCTGTCACGTGGACCTACCCTCCCCCACACCCTAAGGGACTGCATTGCCTTGACAACGTCTGGAGGTAATGGGAGGAAGCTCCTGGAGGCACAGCCCAAGCCGTCTCCTTAGGGGGTCTTTGTCATTTTCTGTTCTCCAGTTGGTGTTAGCTAGCAGGTGCTGCTGAGGTCAAGGTCTGTGTGGGTGAACTCATCTTTTTCCTTGTCCCCAGACTGAACCCCAACTCTGGTTCAGAGACTGAGCCCTAGGCTTGACCTCACTGATTCTGTCTACCCCCAATGCTTATAAATGTGGGTCTTAGGTTACAGGGGACCTTGTGGATGGGATGGGGGTGGGGGGTGGGAAGGGAGAGGATACTGTTACTCAGAGAAGTATAGGTTTGGAGGTCCTAAGAGGGAACGGTTTCCTTTCCCCATTTAGGTATACCACCCCTATCCAGAACCACAGAGAATCATAAATCTAGGGCCACAGAAGCCATCTAATCCCTCCCTCCTTTTACACATGAAGAAATAGTGGTTTAGGGAAGTTAAATAAAATTGCCCGAAGTCACACAGGTAGCAAACATCAGTGAGACCTGAACCTGGGTCTTTTGATTCCAGATTCTTTCCAATTAAATTATTTTTTCATGATCATGTGTTAATTTTTTCTCCTCTCCTTTTCTCTCTCCTCCCCTCACTAAGGGGGAAAAAACCTACACAAATAAAACCCTTCTAACGTATAAGCATAATCAAGCAAAATAAATTCCCTTGTTGGCATCCCAAAATGTAAGCCCAATGTACATCCTGGTGTTAAAACCCCAGGTAGTCTAGATGAATTTCACAGGTCCTTTCCAGCTCTAATATTCAATATTCTAACATCACCAGATCTAACCTTTCGTATTTTAAAGGCTCTTAAAGCAGAGCCTACTATAATAGATAAAGCTTTAGATCTGGAGTCAAGAAGTCCTGTGTTTGAATTCTGCCTCTCAGAATGGGCTAACTATGTATTCCCTGCCGACTGCCCCCCCAAGTTTCCTTCTCTGTAAGATTAGGATAATGTTAGCATCTACCTCACTGGGTTATTACTAAGTGTTAAAGGAGATAGTGTATGTAAAGCCCTTTGAAAATATTCAAGACAAGGTCAGCTATTCTGTTTTTGTTTTTGTATTTTCTCTCTACGTATTTAATTTTTTATTCAACATTTTCCTCCCAATTACAATTCCCCATTTTCTCCAAATATTTTGCCTAATTTTATTTTTTCCCCCAATTTCCCCCCAAAATTACAATTTGTTTTTTAAATTTTGAGTTCCAAATTCTCTCCCTCTCTCTCCTCCCCCCCTCATTGAGAAGGCAAGCAGTTAAGGTCAGCTATTCTTGCTCAAGCCTTGTATGTTGTAAGGTTCTCTTCAGTTACGACATAATGTGTTCCAGGTACTTAGGTCCCTTCTAGCTTTTCACCCTCAAATTCTATGAGCCACCAGAGAAGGAGAAGGCTAGCGTTGTGCATTAAATACTTCATTAAAAGACCTGGATTTGAAACTCAGCACTACTGTTTAGTATCTGTGTGACCTGGAGCAAGTTCCTTAACCTCTATAGGCCTCAGTTTCCTCTTCTGTAAAATTAGGAGGGAGGGGCTGAACGAGATGATCTTTAAGGTGCTTTCGTTGCTCTGACTCTATGGTCATCACAGGGAAGCTCAGGGTCTCCTCAATTCATCCATCTTCTCCTTTCCAGGACCCTCCTTTTGTGCCTCGTCCTGTGCTTAGTCAGGCCAGGGTAGGAAATCTGGGGGGCTCTGAGCCTGGTTAGTGAGACAAGCTTTACACACTGGAGGCTGGTGACTGAACTCTTTGGTAGTAACACCCTGTTAGTTCTGTGAATGAACAGAGAGCATTCTGGTGGCAGGTGGGAAAGACACAGAAGATCTTCCTTTCTCAGGGGTATTTCTGGCCCCTCCCTGATGGAGACCAAGCTGAAGTCCTGAGGGAGCACCAGGAGCTGAATTTTCCATTGCTGGCTCTCAGTCCTCAGACATCCGCTGCTCTTATGCAATGTCTTGGCCTCCCCTCCCTGGGGTTGTTCCCACGCCCCCATTAGCAGGAGGCTGCCCTTGTTAGTATTTCCCCCCACCCCAAACTCCTTCCCCCCCCCCAGTCTTTTCCCTCTTCCTGGCTGTTAACCTTTCTTTGGCTCTGAGAATTCAGAGGAATGGAAAGAGCAGAGGGGCCCTGGGATCATATCTTCCCCCCTCCAAATAAGTATCAGGAAAGATCAGTGCTCACAGAATGTTAGAGCTGAAAGGGGCCTCAGAGATCATCTTGCTCTAACTTCTTATTTACAGAGGAAGAAATTGAGGTCCAGAGTGGGGAAGGGATTTTCCAAGGCCACAGAGTGACCTAGTGGCAGAGCTGGCCCTCAAATCCATCTCTTGAAACTCAGTTCATTATTCTTTCCCCTGTCCTCCACTGCCTCTCAGATGTATGTCAAGGACACTATGTGTCTGTGTGTCCATATCTTTGAAAGGGTAAAGGTGTCAGTTACCTATGCATGGAATTAACTATCCTGTGACAGGTGGGGTTTGCAGGGATGTGCTTGTAAATATTTAACAACCAGATCTCCCCCAAACAGGTAAACATATGGTATGCTTTAAAATTTAATCTGCTCTATTAACATTTTCTCCACCACTTCCTTAAGCCTAGACAATAGACAAAACAACAAATCAAACACCAGCCTATTTCCTATGTATAAATGTGGGGTGTAGGGGGTGAAAAGACTATTTTATGGAGGACTCACACAGGGCGAGCATTCACATGGTGATCAGAAGAAGCCATACAAGGACACTCTCCTGAAGAACCTTGGAATTGATTGTGTGACATGGGAGACACTGGCACAGGACTGCTCAGCATGGCGTGCCCACGTCAGAAAAGGTGCTGGGCTCTATGAGCAAAGCAGAACTGAAGTAGTTCAAGAGAAACACAAGCTACCAAAACTTAGAGAGTCCGCCCCAAAGGTTCACATGGACTGTTTGTGCCCGATCTGTGGTAGAACATTCCAAGCTCATATTGGTCTGATCAGCCACAGTGGGACACACTGAAACTGGACTCTAGCATAGTGATGTCATTTTGATCCTCTTCAAAAGTGAAGGACAACAGCCACCCAATATATAAATGTGCACACTAAAAATTTAACAATTGGTTCTCCAGGTTAGAACTGGCTTCAACATGCCCCTGCATTGATTTCTTTGAGCTTTGGTTTTGTCCTCTGAACATGAAGGGGGTGATGATTTTGTGGCTTGCAAGGATTATCAGCCCATTTTACAGATGAGGAAGCTGAGTTTCAGAGAAAAGTGACATGCTCATGGTCGTACAAGGCTAGTAAGTGGCACAGCATGGACTTGAGCCCAGGACTTTGGATTTCGAGTCCATTGTATCACCTTCCTTAGAGATGGATTCTATATGTATGTATGGGTTCAATGTACATGTACACGTACACACACACTATATATTTGCACATTTGTGTTCCTGGGCAAGCTGATTGTTGTACATGTGAATTCTTCTTGCCCTGGTTATATATATACCCACAATATAGTTGTGCGCATTCCTGTGTTTCATTCAGTCCTTGGATGCTTGCTCAAGGCTCTGTGTTAAGGCTTCAGACACTATCCATTACACTCCTAGGCTAGCTGACCCTTCCTTGGCCCTTCATGTGCTCAGAGGGGCCTTCTTGGGATGGGATGCTTGTGAAACCCAAGGATTCTTGCAGCCAAGAGGCTAAGCTCACCAGTGGGGTCCCAAGTCTGGGCTGCCCCTGCCCTTGTCCTCACCGATGGGGAATCTCGGGCTGGCAGGGACTGGGATTTGGTCTGGGGCAGGAAGCTGAGCTCTCCCCAAAGCTCATTCTCCATCAATGGTGTTGAGGCCAAAATCAGGGGTAGAAGTCAGGGTCACTAGCCTAACACTCATCCCTGTTCACATGAGGCCAGATGTGCCCTCAGATGCTGAAACCTGACTTATCCCATACCCCTCAAGGTCAATGACAGAATCAGGGCAAGTGTATAAGGGTGTTAGTGTGACTGTGTGGGCCAGGTACTGTACTCAGCACTGGGGACCCAAAGACCAAGACAATGTAATCTCTTCCCTAAAGAAGCTTCCATTACCAAGGGTTATAACACGTGCACAGGAAATAAATGCGTGGTAACTTGAGGAGGGGGAGAAGACACAGGTCTGATCCATTGGACCTGGGGAGGCTTTATGGAGAAGGCAGCACCTGAACTGAGCCATAAAGGTCTGTTGAGGACCTCAGGAAAATTATTTGGGCAACTTTAGGTTCAGGACTGAGAATGAAACACACCACTCATGTTCTGCCAAGGAGATGATGAGAACTTAAAATCCATATATGTGTGTGGATGTATATACATATGAATATAAATAAAATGTATGAATATGTATACAAATATGTATACATATGTCATGGCTCATAGGGGAATTTGTTTTTGCTGAACTACGTATGTTTATGATGAGAGATTTTTTCTTCTTTCTCTCTCTCCCTCTCTCCCTTCTTTGTTTTCCTCTGGGGGGGGGGCAGTGTGAGAGACTGATTGCGAATGCTTATTAAAATATTTTTTTGAAGAAAATTATTTAGGCAACTCTGTGGGGAGTGGATTGGAGAGAAGAAAGACTCATTCTCTCTAGTTGTCCCCCATCCCTGGAATAATCTTCCTCCTCTGCTCCAACTACTGACCTCCCTGGCTTCTTTCAAGACCCAGCTAAAATCCCACCTTCTAAGAAAGCTTTCCCTAACCCCACATAATTCCAGTGCCTTCCTTTGTTAATTATTTCCTGGTTTTCTTATATATATATATGTGTATGTGTGTGTATACACACACACACACACATGTACACACACACACATACACACATTTGTTTGCATGTTGTTTCCCCTAAAAGATTATAAGCTCCTTGAGGGCAGGGACTGTCTTTTCCCTCTTTTCGCATCCCCAGCACTTAGCACAGTGCCTGGCACACAG